CTCTGCTGCTCAGTGCTGTGCTGCCATCTGTTCCCTGTACACACATCTATGCTTCCATGAGTTGCTTTTTCTTCTGTGCTGTTAGCTGAATTTTCCATCCCTTGTCGTAGTCCTCTGTTCTTTTGCCCTATTTGCTAGAATGTGTGTTTGAGACCAAATTAATTTTCATTGCCGCCTGTCTTTCTCTTCCTCTGCCTGTATAGACTTTTCAACATGTATCTGTGTATCACTTTTCTCTTCTTGCCCACCAGATAGGCAGTCCAGGAGAGTTTCACCACTCAGTTCGCTTCTGAAGTTTTGATTTCTGTTAAAGTAAACACTAACACTGAAAACATAACCGTTTGCTAGGTAAAATCACTTCAGGAGCTTGGGAGCAAAGGAATCTTCCAGGGTTTCCTAACCTTCCCTCTGTTCCTTTTTGTCTGTTGCTGTGCAATACGTGCAGACACGAAATAGAGCCAATTTATTCTAGGTTTGCACCATCTGCTTATCCAGTATAATTTTCAAGTTTAAACTTGAACCCAGATGTATCTATCCAATGTTCTTAACAACTATCTATGTGTAAACCTGAGTAGGCTTTGGGTTTCTTTTTCTTTGGTGATGGTGGGGTACTGTTGGATAAATGCCATTAATTGAAGCAGCAGATGCTTGCACTTCCTCAAGCTCTATGTTATGATAGCAGGTACTACTCCCTCCCTGCCCCTAAACTTACTAGAAACTTACTAGAAAAATCTAGCCAAGAACAGATAGCGTTATTCTTATGTTCTTATTTAATTGCATTTCATGTTAGTCTTGTTGCCTGTTACCCTTTATTTGATGTATAACATCAACAGCTTTCCTAAAATTCAGAACATGAGAAAGAGTTATTAAGTCCCATTCACTGCTGTTGCATATACATCAGGTTTCAGATCCTGGTCAAATTCTTACCTGAAAGGATTGAGGATTTGGATTGTATGGCTTTGTTTTGTTTTGTGATTTCATTGAGGGTGTGTGTGTGTGTTCTGCCACCATAGTTCTTATTACAATACTATTTCAGAATCTCAGTGTTTTTGTGGCTGTGGAAATTGGAAGCATATTTGTAGATGGAGTTACTATGACCAGCCTACTCCATTTGGGTTAAAATCAGTTTTGCTTTTTCATTCAAATAGCTTATGTCCTTTCTGTTCGGTTACCCCAATTAAATTAAACCAGAGATTAGTCATATTCCTTCTCAGCCAAGCTCTTCATTTCCTCTTAACCAAGAAAGCAGAGTGTCCTTTTTATCTTGTTCACTGTGTCAGTTCCAGCTTCAAATTTCTGGAATGTTGAAGTGGCAAAATAAAACTTAAAAAAAAAAAAATTCTGTCTGTGCATTGCATGACTTTGTCACACTTAGCCATGTGGAAATTTACTGTGCTGTTCACTGTGATTTAGGGGGAAAAAAATATGATCTGTTTTGTTATATACTATGTATGTAGTATTGTGCATACCCCGTAAGAAAGAATGGAATTGTGAAGAAACCAGTTCTCTAGCATTTGGGAGAATTTAGTGATGATAAGCTGAATGAAACAGGTAATTTAAACATGCAATGAAATTCTGTAAACGTTGGAAATACTGGAGGATGGGAGTACTTGAAGGGAAGGTACGATTCTTTGCTTGCCTCATTCTCATCTCTAAGTACTTGCTTCCTCATCAGTGAGAGACAAGCATTAAGCTAAGATTGTGTTTTCTGTTTTATCAAGTACTTCTGCTTTTATGTTATTTTAGATAAGGGGTTTCCTACAAAGTCATCTCTCTGGTATACCCATTATATGAAGTCTTTAATTAGTGTAAATTTGATGCTACTTCTGTTTGCTTTTTTTACTTCCCCCCCTCCCCACCCGCATTTAATAAATAGTAAGGTATTACTGCAGGGATTGATTAAAAATGCAGAGGTGTGTATGTAGTGTTCTGGTGCTTTTGTAATCAAATAAAATTGGTATGGATCACATTAGGTACATGTGCATCTCGGGTACGAGTCTCCAGTGTTGATACCAGCTGTTGGCTATTGGTGTTACTGTCTTGTAGAGTGTGTAAGATGGAGCAGCTGTGGAGAGTCTTCTGACTGCTATCCTGCAACTACTTTTCTGCATTTCATAAACCACCATATGGCATCAGTGTTGTTCAGTATAATAAGAGATTAAAAATGCTAAAGACAATTGATACTCTATTCTTCTTAATCACAAAGATAGAAATATAACCTCTCCTAGGCAGATTAGCAGAGCTCACACTTCACTTGATAATGCTGAAATTGAACCAGTCTTAACTGGTCAACAGGGTGTCGGTGCTGATCCTTTGGGTACCAAATGGATACTGCATTTCTGACGCAATCAAGAGTCCTGTTGTCTTATTTTCTGTCTCCAACATTCGTTTCAGTACCACTGTATCTAATACCAAGTTTTGTTTGGTTTTAAACCAAAATCCTGTCTACTTTTCACTCCAAACCGAATGATTTTGAGATCTCTGTCCATCCTGTTCTTCCCCAAACCTTCTGTAAGAGGAATATAACTCAGATTTTTAGCTTGCTTTACACTGAAGGAGCCCACCAGATTCCATCTGCACAGAGTGTTTTAAGCTTTCCCTAAATAAGATGTCTCTTGGCTCCTCTTCTTTTTTAACTAGAGCCTTCTCAATCCCAGCCCATTAGTTTCCTTTTTTACTTTATTGGTATGGCAGCGACTCTTATGTAGAAATTATTTTTATTCTCCTTCTTACACCTACAGATGTCCTTGTCACTCATTCAGCACTTACTTCCCAGGAGTTCTGCTGCAAAAAATTAAATTAACCCAGGAAACTACAAGACCAGCAATGTGAAGATAATATATAGGATAAAGCAGAGTTAAGCGATAGTAAGGAATAGCTTCCCGTTAACTCTCTTACATACTGCATGCTACATAGGACAAAATCAGATTCTTCCAACAGATGACCCATGATACTTTCTTAACAGAAATACGTAGTTTTTTCCAGGAGTTATTGCAAAGAAACAGGTATTTTCAGTACTGAATAGACTGTGCTACAAGAAAATGCTTGGATTATCTGGTCTTTTCCATGCTTTCTTTCCTTGCATGCAGCAGTCATAAAAAAATCTCTTTATGTCAGAAATCTCAGCTAACATTCTTAGATGTTTGAAGTTTAATACTTTAATCTTGCGAAACACCCAAGGGACAGATGAGAGATATAAATGAATAAAATGAGGTGACTTACCCAAGGCCACACAGTGCAGCAGTAGCACAGAAGGAGTAGAAAATTCTCTCTGCATCTGGGTCCTTCCCCTAAGGGATATTGCTTTCTAAAAAATACAATTTCTCACATTCCTCTAAGGATACCATTCTGTCATCTGAAATTGTTTTGCTATTAGTGATAGCATTAGTAGTGGTGGAAATAATGTTTTTGTGTCTCTTGTCAAAACAGCCTTATCAGTCTAATTTAGTGCTGGTAGATTATTTGGTCTCAACTTTATTTGTAAAAAGGCACTTGATGCTGTTTTAAAAACTAAGATACTTTCTTAAAAACTAGTAGCTTTTGGTTTTGAAAGACAGAAGTCAGGGTTATATAAGAGGCTGTTCATATTACCATAATCTAGATAGGGTTAATGATAGTTGCTATTGCTAGAGCATCAGATTTATAGTAACCTTGATGAATTAAGTGATATACCAGAAACTGGTTCACAGAATAATCATCTGAAACCTAATATTTTTTTCTTCTCTGGTCAGTCTGTAAGCCTTGGTGGTCACTATCTGATGAGTGTGTTTGGAGAAAGTGCTACAGGATGTAATATGATAAATCAATCATAATATTGAGATGGTTGTTGAAGGAACCTGAGTTTAGAAATTTTCTCAAGATTTTTGCATGTTAGAGCCCCCACTATCAGTCTTGCATCTCCTGAGTAAACCTGATTACCGCAGGGAATAACGGTGCAGCTGGGAAGAGCAGCTCCTTCCCAGGGGAGCAGCTGCTTGCCGCACGCACCCTGGCGCTGCCAGGGCTGCCGCCTTGGGCTCTGCCAGCACGTGCTCTCCTGGCCACGGTGGTGGCTGCAGAATGTTCCCTTCAACTAGGAAGGTTTTACGAGTGGATCTGTTGATCCCGAAGTCCAAACTATTCAGCTGTGAAGGCAAAACTTACTTGCTTTGAGTTTATAGTTTATGCTGACAACGTGTAAATACCTTGCTTCAGGAAATGTTTGTTCTGAAGAATCTATTGCTATTTTACTGTCTGCCTTTGTAGCTAAAGTTGAGTGAAGTTAGCTTAGTTTTAGTAGTATGCAGTGCTGCTTAAAAACACAATCCGTTTTTTCAGGATTAACATTGTACATAATTTTGTAGAAGGAGTTTGAATCTCTAGTGCTGTTTACAAGTAGATTGAGGTAAATGCCAGACTTCTGGATTATTTTTTTTTCCCCTTTCCTGAGCTCCCATGGGAACATTGTTTTATTCAGAAGATGTTTTGCATATTTCCCACCTTGTAGTGCCAAATTATTTATCTAATTCAAGTCTGGTAATTTTAAGGTACCGACACTTTTCATTCCCATTTCTTAACATTTAAACTTTAAAAATACATAGTTCATGATTATAAACCAATATTTCACATGTATGCTCTGAATTTTTCTTTTTGTCATAGGTTACAATTTATCAGTCTTTTTATCACTAGAAAAATTATGATTATTAGTAGAAATGTTTCTCTTAATTAGAAAAAACAGTGAACTACAGATTAAAAACCTTAGATTTTAAAAAATGATTATTTGTCTAATCATGATTATTTCAAATTTTATTTCAGTTGATAAATATAAAGTTTGTCATAGCATTTAATTACAAAATATAGTGCTTAATAAAAATGTTGGGGTTTAAGAGTGTTTTTGTTTCTTTTTCTTGTATTGAAAGTTTTGTAACAACACTTATTCTCTGAGATTTTCAGCATTTTTGTGAATAATTTAATTGCTGAAATTCAGGGAGAAATTAATTGCAATCATCCCTTTCTTACAGAATACAGTCGTTTTGAAGCTAAAATACATGATTTACGGGAACAGATGATGAACAGTAGCATTAGTTCAGGATCAGGATCTTTGCGAACCAGCCAGAAGAGATCCTTATATGTCAGGTAATCATCTTTTTCACAGTATTTCTACTGTGTTTTTCTGCTTTTCTGTAGACTTAGTATTTCTGTATTTGCTTTTTTATGAAATTATTTACTCATTATTGAACTTAACAAATTGATATTTATATGCAAAATATATTAAAAATTAAGCTTAATTTCAATCAATTAATGTAATATAGCTGAAAGAGAATAGCCCCAAGAACCCTCTATGAACTTTTAGAGGTGCTGCTATTTGCTCTTTGTCCTGTCTCTGAGATGATAATCCTTCGGCAAAATCATGTATTTATTAAATCAGTGTATGTGAAGTCTTAACAGCTTGCTTAATTCAGTTTGTGTTTTTGTGACAATAGTCTTTGTATTTTCCCTTGTTCAGTTCTTGAGTTCACATTTATAGTCTCCCTTTACTGAAGCTTTGACAGATTTCTGTCTTTTCCTCCACTTACTGGAGTTGTATTCTCAGCTTGTATTAAGAAATCCGATTTCTATATCCAATAGTATTTTGTTATAGAATATTTTTCATGGTAACCGAGAGAGGAAATGCATCAAAGCAAATGAACTGAATATTCTTCATTAATTTATTCATATAGAATTAAACATAAAGGAGGCTAAAAGGAAGTGGAAATAGAAAAGAGCATGAAGCAGTTAAAAAAATAGGTGGTTTCACTGGGAAAATGTGGCAAGGTGCAGTTCATTAATGTGCCAACTGACTCCTACATCAGTTATCATATCCTGATAAAGCATAATGCTTCCAGTATTGGAATGTGGATGAAAGGATTGCATTTTTAAAAATAAATTGATTTTGAGTTCCCTGAACCAGCTTATCTCTGGACTGAAAAAGGTCCAGCAGTAGCCTCTTGGCAGGAGCCAGAACATTTTAGTAGAGCAGGTGAGGCTTCAGTAGTGCTATTGACTTTTCCCATCCGAAGCAGATAGTATTGTTCGTGGTGCTGTATCTGTTGAGCCATGCAAAAGGAAGCAAGTCTTACACCAAGGCAGTTACCTGGGTAATTGCATCTGTGCTCAGAAAAGTGTCAGTCCTTTGCAACTTATTTCTGAAGGCTTTGAAACAAATATAGCAAATTACTCATACAGGGCTTTCATTTAGATTGACTATAATATGTAGCCTTTATGTTTTGACCTATTTAGTAGCTTTGCAGAGCTGATCTTGTTATTCTTTTTTTGTACTCCACCTTAAATATTTTTGGGGGTCAAAATTTAAATCTCTAAAGATAAATGCCTTAAATACTAAGGATAAGTACTTGATATCAGTTATCCATGTCTTAAAATTTTCACAGATAGGTGTACATACAGATATTGTGGTGGCATCTTCCTTTCCACAATCCCAAGATTTATTGCTTTAGCTCTCATCATATAACTAAGCCTAAACAATTCTAAATGCTTTTATTTTGCTTGGTTAGCTATACCCTGATTAGGTTCTAAGCTGCTTATGCTCATGTTCACACATGGGTTTGATACTTTAAGCTGCTGACAAGCATTTTGTGTTTATGTAGCTTTTATTCCACTGATGGAAGTTGCTATCTGTAAATGACTGAGGCTGAGCTTTTGACTTTGCCAGCTGCTGCAGAAAATGCGGCCTTCTCCAGGTTGTTGGCTGATGCCTTGTGGAGACTGCTGATTCCCTTTCCAAGAAGGGGCTTTGAGACTTGGTAAACAGCTTTGTTATAAGTCAGAACAAAAATCTAAAATGCAAAAATTCCTCAGGAAAAGTACTTTTCCACCCACATCTCTTAAAAGCCCTAGCAGCACCCTCTGAGATCTACTCTTGTCATCACACCAAAAGATGCCAAAGACTGGTAGGCAACTTGGTATACACAGGATGGGTTCACATCTGCTCTGTCTGGTTTCTGATGTAATTTTGACCTCACTGAAGTAAGTTTTATGAATCTTTTCACGTATTGCTAGATACTGACAGAACATGTTAGTTATCCATCTTATTCCTTATAAGGAATATAGTATGATCATTCTCTACTTTTAATTGTACCAATTCAAAGCCAGTTTTAGTAACTGAAGCTATCTTTTTTGTGTAATATTTGGCTTTGGATATGCTTTAAAGGATTCTAGTTATATAATGTAATGCTGAATTGAATGGTAAATCCAACAATAGAATGTTTATAGGCATTCAACCACAAATGTAGAAAACCTATCAAATAAAAATACTCTAATAGTCTCTGGTGAATTCTCAAAATCATGGTAACAAAACAGCAAATAAAATCACATACAGCATTGCGTCCCTGTAACTGAAACTTGATATCTTTATGAATAGTCTGCCTGTAAACAGCATTTTGGGGGAGTTATGTAATATTAAGGAAAAGACAATTGTGTTTGCATGAAAACATGCTATGAAGTAAAATGTCAGATTTTTCTTCTTAATTGTATGTATGTTAATATATGATGAGTAGCAATATAACAAACAGTCCTTGGAGGGCAATACAAATATAGCAATTCAGCAGCAGCTAACTCTTCATTTGCACATCAAATTCTCTCTCTCTCTCTCTCTCTCTCTCTCTCTCTCTGCTCCTGACTAATTAAGATGTGCTGATTTAAAGACCTTCTCTTATTTTTGCTTTATGTTTCTTTTGATCTTTATTCTAAGAGGAGACTGATACTCCCACACGGTGTTTCTGTGTTTGCATCTGAGCTATATGCTTTCCTCCTTCACCTGCAGATTCAAAAAGCACATGTGAAAAGGTGAGATACCTTCATGGTATCAAGTTTCTATGATAATATGTTGACAGGGGGTAAATTTGTTCCATACTTAATCTCGTATGCCAAATTTCAGTCAGTGGAATATATGTAGAATTCATAATCAAAAATTACTTTTACTGGGCATTTTTATGACAGCATGATACGTTTCAACTTCAAACGATGCTGAGTTCTGCTTGAATCAGAGTGGAAAATGATTACATATCTAAGTGGAAGAAACTTTAAGATTTTGAAATCATTAGGAAATCTTAACTAAATCCACTGAAAAATAAGATCTGGCATTAGCACCAGGCCTGAAAAGTGTAGTTGCCTGTAGGAGTTTAATTGGGCATCCCGATGTTATTCTTGTTTGAAACATGTAGTTTCAAAGAGCTTTCCCAAGAACTCAGGGAGAAAAAGAGAACCTCCTTTAGAAGCTGACCTTCATTCATTCTGAAGTGGTAAGATTAATTCATGTTTCATGAAATAAGACATGAAGATGCTTTTGCTGCCGGAATTCCTCATTGCTTTGTTCAGCAAGAATGCCCTAAAAGAATAAATGCTTCAGGAAAACTTGATCAACAGCCTATGAAATTGAAAGTAATGAGTGTGACAAGGTGAAAAAGACATTCTGGAATATTTGGCACTGTTAGCACAGCCATTACATTTTTGGCTTAGAAGCATGGACACTCATGAAACATGCAACTTAACTTCATTTTTGGTAGACTTGTAAATGAAGGAATTAAGTTAGCTTTTTTTAGTGCTGTTTAGTTGCTGAGTAATACAAGGTGAAATAAAAGGAAGGACGTGGTGCTTTCTCTGTAAAATAAAAGTCTCCATAGAGGGAGTTAATCCAAGAGGTATTTTTTATATACCAGTCTGGAGATAAATATGTCATCTTGGCTGTGAAATGAGTTCTCGTTTGATGACTTGCCATGCATACAGGAAAAGCCGTGTTAATCAGTTGGAATCGCAAGGGATTTTTGTTAATTCTGTTTGCTTTTTGGCTTGTTTGATCATTACCAGTTCCTGGTGTTCCTATAAATCTTAGCTGCATAGATTTGTCACTACCGTGTGACACCCTAATTCATCTTATTATAAAACTCTCCTTATCAGCTTTGACTTTGTCTCCCAATAAAATTATTTTTCTTGAAGTGATCTCACCAGAGGAAAAGTATTTGATGAAACTGCCTTTCATTGTGCAAAGACTATTCTGTGTGATGATTTATCTAGTTTGAAGAGCACATGTTGATAATATATGTTTTTATCCATTTGTGCTTCCATTTCAATCTTGTATATTTTTGTTCTCATGCAGTCAACACGTGCATTAATGCTGTTAGGCCAGGGTCACTGCTCATATAAGTTTATGTTCAAACTAAAACTTGGAAGTTAAAAGTAGTTCTGGGAGAAATCATTGCTTGAATGCTAACAAGAATTCTCAGGAAATAAATTTCATGATGCATTTAATTAATTCAGTGAAAATGTATACAACTTGAATCTGCATTAAAAGTACATCATGGATTATGTGCAATTTATTTTGAGATACAGAGTGATAATTGTCCAGAGTGCTTCTTGATAAAATGTGCAGAATAAATCTGGAGGAATAACTACTAGGTGTATAATTTTCTTACCTGCAGTATTTGGGCTGTTTCAAAGACAATGAGGATTCTGATTTTTTTTGAAAGAATCAGGATATCTCAAGTATATTATGGAATTAAACTGAAGGATATTATAGTGGAGGTTGCACTACTGAAGGAAGGTGGTATTTCAAACTGCAAACTATTTCAAAATTGAAAGCCTAAATTTTATTACAAAGTTATCAAATGGAAAGTATTGCATATTTAAATATATGGCTTTGTGTGTCACGAGAGTAAATATTTCTAAGCCATTTAAAAATTTCTATCTTGTTCTAGATATTTTAGCAAATATTTATTAAAACATTTATCCCTTTATGAAAAATTTTTATGGCACAAGAAAGGCATGATGTCTCAGACAACTCTGATTTTGTAGTAGGCCTTATGCTAGAGATTTATGTTTCAAAATCTTGTATTTTTTCCGTAGAAGCCATTTGTTATTGGTTATGAACAAATACAGTTCAAACCCAAAGTAATACACTCAGTGCTTTCGGCAGAATTCATAAAGCTAAAATACGTTTTGGAGCTAACAGTTATGATTTATAGGTACCTACATGGGTTAAAAAAATCTGAGACATGAAGAATATAGCAGAAAAAGGTACATAAGTCTAGTGTTTGGGATGAAGAAATTAACTGAATTTGGACAAGGAGAAGGACACCATTTTAAATCATTCCATTGTAATCTATTAATGCTATTTTGTGGTGGACTTGGTATTAAGTCTCTAAATCGAGATAGCATATCGTTTAGAAAGTGCATCACTGAATCATATGAGCTTGCAGATGAAATAAAGTTGAGGATTTTTTGGCCTCGGTAACACAGGTGCTTCTTGCTTTACATAGGTGAGGTTCGTATACCTTTTTTAAATGTAAGAGTCCTCTATAAGTCATAACTTTAGGAGTATCTCTTATGGTTTGAGAAGAAGCTCCTGCCATTCATTTCCACATCCTTGCTAAACCCTTAATTGTGCTGGGAGAAACATACTGCAGGTCTCCTCAGTTCCTCAGGGAACGGATCCAGATATAAAATGATCCAACAGGGACAAAAGAAATTAATTTTAACCCAGGTCAGTTCTGCAGTATTGTGCACTATGTGACTTTCCAGACAATTGTGCTTTTATAAGCAAGAAGGGGGAAAGGAGTCAGTACAAAGCAGGTGTGAATGGGGGGTATGGATAATAAACCAACCTTGCTAGCAAAGGGAATTTTAAAATAAAACTAGTCACGCTGCTGGTGTTCAGGTATTGCTAGTGCCTATTATTTGAAAACAGGCTTACCTTAGAAAAAAGGATGAGATTCTCTTGAAATAGTAGGGAATTTTCCAAAAGAATGCATGTAAGGTTCCTAGCCTTCAGGTTCTACATTAGCAAAGTTGTGTTCAGATCTTATTTCTAAGGTTTTTTTTTTTGTTTGTTTGTTTGTTTGTTTGTTTTTTTTCCTGCAACCCTGTGAGCAGGATATTGACTTTTATTCTAAAGTCAGACAGTAATTTTTACTTACTGAAATAATTCCAATATATAACTTGGTATAAAACAGTATACACTGTAGAACTTTGGACAGTGCTGTATGCTTCAAATAGTCACTTGTATTTTTTATCCTGGGCTGATATGTAACTTGCTGTATGCAAAGTGCTTATTGAATTGTGGAAGGCATCTTTTGTGGACCTTTTATAAAGCATTAGAGTTTTGCTCTGGATGAAGTTTGTTCTAATTCATTAAAACTAACATGTGTGTGTGGATACTATCCTATGTATTCTCTGTGTGTGCACATGTGTGTGAGAGACAGTGCATTCAGCATTTTTCTTTTAGGAAACTGTCAGAATGATGCAATCATTTCTGATGAATGCAGGCAGCTTTCTTCATATTTTGTGCTGTTCATAGTCCCCTGTTTTTTTCTTGCATTTCCTGTGTTTAATTTTTTTCTTCTTAATGTAGAGCTCTTTTTGATTACGACAAGACTAAAGATAGTGGCCTTCCAAGTCAAGGACTGAACTTCAAATTTGGTGATATTCTCCATGTCATTAATGCTTCTGATGATGAATGGTGGCAAGCACGACAGGTAACTCCGGATGGAGAAAGTGATGAAATTGGAGTTATCCCAAGCAAACGCAGGTATGTCATATTTTATTGACTTTAAGATGTCTGACATTAAATTTATGATATGATTAATACATATATTGCATATGCTTTGCTCATTGTTGCTAATTCTATCCTACATTAGCCACTTGTTTGTTTGTTTGTTTGTTTGTTTGTTTTTTGTTTTTTGTTTTTTTTTTAAGTAATCTATAGTGGGTTTCTGACTAACTGTGAGAAGTTTGTTAAAATCCTCTTTATCCTTAGGAGTTGTGTGCTAAAGTTGGTAAAGCTGGTTCAAGTACATTACCCTCTTCTTACTGTAAGCAAGTTATGGGTTTAATAACATTTCACCACTTACGTATGAAAAGGTGTAAAGTGAATTTTATTCAAATCATGACATTGTCATGAATTCCTTCTACCCAAAGCCTAGAAAACTGGCAAATCTTTCTTTGGTGGCCAGAGTAAATGGAGACGAGGTGCTTGTTGGCATCCTAGAGACCCAAACAAGAGATTAGGTGCTCTGAATCTCAATATCTGCTGTTGACTCATAATTGAGGCTGTTCACTCACTGTTATGTTTTCTCTTTGCACCCTCTGAATTTATTGAACCTATACAATCACAAAACACTTCAATATTGTCACAGCTCATCACTTCAGAAATAACACCCTGCTTTTCCAATACAGTTTGCCATTAGCAGGCTTCTATTTGCTGAAGGTGTCATCAGCAATAAAAATCTATACTACAAAAGGTACACCTGTATACTTACTCGTAACAAGTAGTAACTTCAAGTTCTGGAATTTTGCTGATTTACTGTTTTTGTGTATGTTTTTGTGGTAGAGTTGAGAAAAAAGAACGAGCCCGTTTAAAGACAGTGAAATTCAATGCCAAAACAAGAGGAGATAAAGGGGTGAGTTAAGTGCTAATTACACCTGGCACTGTGAATGGTAACATTACATTTTTCAGTGGTTTATATATACAGACTCAGTATCAGATTTCAGTGAAAAGATTAAATTGTGTCACATAGAAATAAAATCATGCTGAGCACCAAAGCAAACTTTATTTGCCAAAACACTGCAAATTGTTTAAAGAATTAGCTTAGAAATATACATTAATACTGTAATGTAATAGGAGTTACAGATGCTAATCAAGTTTCGAGTAGTGCCACTTGTAATAGCTCTGCAAGTGCTGTTTGTAAAGCAGTTTAGTCCTTTAGTATGGCTTATACTTTTGGGCTCTGTGGGAAGGGGCAAACAACTAATTTTCAGAAAAAGTGAAATGTTTCTTTCTTTAAGCCTTTTTTAATGCCTTTAGAAAACAAGCAAGTAATGCTTAACAGGGTCCCTATGATGAAAAGAGGTTTTAGATGTACACAGTTACACAGACAGCATAAAGTAACTTCTTTGTTACAATAATGGATGTAGAAGCTTTAAGGAATTTCATGTGAGTGTGTAGGCCAACAGAAGATCGAGGCTAGAGCCACTGCTGACCAGAATCAGTCTCTGTTTCACAGCATTTTTTTCTCACCGCCATTCTGTTGGTGCAAATACTGATGTGGCTGGGCTCAAATCATGTAAAATAGCCAATGTAGATGAACAATAATCTAATCCAAAAGAAATCCTGGATTTAATTTTAGTCAGTCCCTTGGTGCAGTTCACTGCACGATATGCATTCCAGTACACAGGATGGGAATGAGTGGTGAGAAAGCTCTATAGCTACTTAAGTACTAATGGGAATGTTTGTAGCCGAAATTACAGCAATTTCATAATGGTACAGCAGCCAAATTTTTTTTTTTTTTATTATTTTGAGGGTCAGGTTTTTTTGCAGTGTTTTGGTCATTTTGAAATTTGAGAAACAATTTAATAACATTTCTACCTCTACCAATAGTACAAAACTGGTAATTTCAGGACTTAGGTATATGCATTTTAGATGTAAGAGCCTTCTAAAGTAATAAAGACTTTAAACTATAAAGACTGTTAAATCCATATGTACGTCCCTCTGTCACATTGCACAGGTTTCAGTTTAGTTTATTAATGAAGAAAATGTCATGTTGTTTTCTACAAGTATTTGTTTGAAAGGAAATCAATATCTCTATTTTATGATGAACAATTATGGTACTACCTTGAGGATTTACTGGATCATTTGCAGGTTTTTTTCTGTTTTGGTGCATTCGTATTTTGGTATTGGAATAAAAAGCTGTAAACTGATATGGTAATTTTTAACTGGATCATTTTTATAATTTGAGTTCCCTTTCTAGAAGTCATGTTAAAGAAGTGGCTTCAATACTTTACTATATTTTAATTACATTAAATAATTTTTCAAATGTTACCATGTTCTTTGAAAGATAATTGCATGGTTTTGTAGTTTGTCTACCAATAAACTGCAAACAGTTAATGATGTATTAGAAGTAGCGTTGTGACAATAGCAGAGTTAGTGCACAGTCACTGTGTACTAACATAGCAGCAAAGATATGCATGGAATACTGAGTGGAAAAGCAGCTACGCTTGCCATTGATATAGAACTGCAGTTCTTTTTCTGTAGTAACATCTCATTTTGCAAACATGCTTACACTGTTCACAATCTTTTGCTTCAGCTGTAAATGTTTTAACATTACGGTTTCTTCTTAAAGTATTCTTCCTGTATTGGTCATGATGATATTTTTCCCAGTAAGTTGTTTGCATCATACATGCCCTCATGGACTGTGTGCCTTCCTGTGTCTGTATGTGATAATACTCCATGGACACCATGAAATACCAACTGTTTACAGTTCTTCAAAATTTCTACATTAAAAACTTACAGAATAACCTTAGTGATGGCAAATATTAAAACCTATGTTCCTTTCATTTTAAGGAAAGCTAAAAAATCTGGAGCAGAAATGGATAAATATTTTTCTTGTTTGTTCCTTTCATATACACATTTATCTCACTTTCTGTGCTGCTTCTGTTTTAATATATTCTTGCTTATGATGCCTGTTTATGATTTGCAGTGGGCTTGTGAAAAATTTAATACAATTACTATTCATTTTCAACTAATAAGCAATTCTCTCTAGCTTTTTATAATCATTGTATCTTTTAAAAATAATCTTTTGGCTAATCTTTTATGCAAAATCAGTGTAATATTACTTTTATTTTCTCTTTTTTTTTTGGCAATGGATCTGACTCTGACCATTTACATGCAGTATATAACATTTAATATTAGTTCAGTAAGATTTACTTTATGGAAAGTTAAAATACTTATTATCATGAAATATTTTCAAAACTAAAATGAAGAACTCAGTTATGTTCTATGAAGTAAAATAAATCAGCCACTGCTTTTATTTTAACTGTACAAATTGCAGAGTCTCACCACCTCAGTTAAACTACAAAGTTTATGCTTTGTTACATTTATTTCCCCTATTCTTTGCCCCAAACTGAGGGACTTGTCCAAAATGAACAATTACATAGATATGAGACTTCCACTTCTGAAATTTATGTTACAGTATTTTTCAATATACTCGGCAAAGATCTCCTCTGGACATATTTATTTGTTGTCCTTGTTCTGTAGATTACACTAACCTTTCTGGTTATGAGAAATCAATTGCAGTGACTTGCTGACCTCACGTAAAGAATGTCAGGAGGACCATAACCTAAAACCTTGCCCATGCCAACTATGGCTCGTGCAAGCATATGATTGGCTCAAAACCAGTTCCTTTGTCCATGTCAGGTTGATAATTTACCAATTCCTACCGCGGAATGACAGTTTTAGTCGAATACAGATGCCAGCCAATTAAGGTTTTATGGATTTCCTTCTTAACACAGTATTGCTATTTCCAGAGCTCAATGCTACTGATTGTGCTCTGTGGTACCATGTGGCTCTCTAACACCTGGGGATTTTAAATAATTTTTTTTTTTTTAATATCACTGGATGTTTGAGTATCTGATAATGCCGAGCAAGTCTGTATTAAAACAGATGGCCAGAAGAATTTTCAATACTGCAGCAGGATGCAGCTTTTGTGTTGTACTATAGACATTCACATTAGGAGAGCCAAATGCTAGTTTTGTAATTGTACGAAAGAAGGTGGCCAACTGTTTGAAAAAACCTTGTTCTATTTGACTCCTAGTTGTTAGTATGTTTTGTTCCATACTTAGTGCTGGTAGGAAAGATAATACACCTTTTTGCAACTGTATTGAATATAATAGAGGAAGATGAGCTCACACTGGCCAAAGACAGACAAGTACTCCAAATGTACATGCTCCAAATTTTAGAAACAGCTGTTAGTAGAGTCTTTAGTGTATGAATTTAGTTGGTTTTTTTTTTTTTTTTTTTTTTAAGTAATTATAAAGAATAGTTCTGTAGAAGTTTTATTACTCCTGCTGTACATGGGCTCTGCTTGGCTTAAAAATAAACAGTCCCCCTGGCAGCATAGGGTATCAAAACCAAGTTGGGCATTTTCTTACTTTTGCCATCCTTCCAGTCATAGAGTTTCTGCAAACCAAATGACAAAAACATGGCAGATTTAATGTCTTGGCAAAACTGGACAGGTGATTCACTTATGCCTAAAAATAGAAAAGGAATTTCAGCTGGCTTCAAATTAGCTGTATTAGTTCTAGTTCTGGGCATAATTGCAATAATAATTTTACTGATTTATTTATACATTGAATTTTTTATTGACTTAGAACAGTAAAGTGCTGTAGTCACGTAATGTCTTCAGCAGGAGATATGGCAGATATTGCTAAAATCTGTGTTAATTACAGCTGTAGACATGCCTATATATAAATGAAAATACATCGATGCTCTCTATCACTTAGAAAAGGAGCAAAATAATAGTTTTATATTCATATGGGTGGGTATGTATATGTCTATATAGCTAACTAGAAATTTTTGTAGCAACTGAGGTGCAGAAATTCATGAGCAACACAAGCAGTTAATGTCAGAAGTTGCTGAATATGATCCTTGGACGTACATTTTTTTTTTTTTTTTTTCATGTGGCTATTGTCTATAAATGCAGCCCTGTAAAAATAATGCCACAGCAAACAAATGAAATGAGTTTGTATCTCAAAGGACTAGGAAGCCTGCCATGTGAAGAAAGGCTGAGAGAATTGGGTTTGTTCAGCCTTGAGAAGAGAAGGTTTAGGGGAGACCTTATCACCATGTTCCAGTATTTAAAGGGTGGCTACAAAGAAGATGGAGACTGCCTTTTTACAGAGAGCCACATGGAAAATAGAGGGGTAATGGGTGCAAGTTACTCCTGGGGAGATTCCAATTAGACAAAAGAGGAAAATTTTTCACAATGAGAATAATCAGCCACTGGAATAATCTCCCCAGGGAAGTGGTGGATTCCCTAATGTTGGAGACTTTGAAGAATCAGCTGGAAAGGGTGCTGGGCCATCTTGTCTAGACTGTGCTTTTGCTGAGGAAGGTTGGACCAGATGATCCTTGAGGTCCCTTCCAACCTGGTATTCTGTGCTCGTTTGAAAGTTAGTCTTGATGTTGAGATGCAAACTTATGTAGAGTGAAGTAATTTCTTTCAGTGAACTTGCAATGAATTGCAATTGTGAAAGACTGAAACAAATACAGGTTTGGCATTTTTTAAATTGTTTGAATATTTTAGCTAGACACATTTATTTTCTTCCTTTTTTCCTATTTCACTGTTAATTTTACTGTAAGAGCATTCAACACAATGCCAGCTTTTAACTTCCATTTTTCTGTACTGTATGATGTGTTACTTAGCAGTTGACACAAAAGTATTTACAGTTTTGCCTTTGCAAATGGGTAACACTGGCAAATACTTCTGGTGTGCTGTTATGATGTCAGCTGTTTGAAAAAGCATGTGTAAAGCCTCAGCATTTTTTTAAAATACTGTAATCCCTTTATTAGATAATATCAGTGATTTAACTGAGTTCATTATGGTTTGGCCATTTTACAGCAGCCTAGTTTTTCACTAGTATAGTGAAAGTATAGTCCCAGCAAGCCTAAATTACAGGTCAGGCCATATAGGATGAACCAGCCTGCTGCTTCTCTCAATAGTAAGCCTGTGAAATACAGAGGGTGTGAGCAAAGCTGATCCTGATCTCTATTTTTAATGAGCTGAGAAGATAGTGTTAAACTGAAATATGCACTGCATAATGTGGTTCTAGGAGTCAGCTTCCACAAAGCTGCTGGTCTGGGCCTTTGTTCACACAGACATTAGACATCCTTTGTTTTGCCCCTCCTTCTCTTCTTCAGCAGTCATTCAATGACAAGCGTAAAAAGAACCTCTTTTCCCGAAAATTTCCCTTCTACAAGAACAAGGACCAGAGTGAGCAGGAAACCAGTGATATTGACCGTAAGTATGTGGCATTCGATGGAGAGCGAAGCACATGTAGAAGGGCCTGCTAGATTGCAGTAGGGTGTTACCATGGAGACAGTTTCATGAGCTGCAACAGGCTAACGAGCTTGACATGCCAATGACAAACCAATCTCCAAAACCAATAGAACTGTTTGCTTACTGTTAAAAGTGAAATTTAACACAAGAGTATCCCAGTTTGCAATAAATTGGGTAATACTGTTGAGTAACAGTGAGTACGTAACTGGAGGAGGTAAAAGCCTTCCAGTGCTGTCAGTGATGGTTCCTCATTTCTGACTTGAAGGAGAGGGCACAGCAACAGAGAAAGTATAACGGAGTTTACCAGCTTCTCATATCAGTCCCTTTAGACTAGTTTCTTGAAAGCTATTAATTCTAATTTGGTTTTACTAATGAAGAGAGATTACTTTGATTGTCACTGCTGTTGCCAGCACTAAAAAAAAAAAAAAAAAAAAAAAAAAAAAAAAAATTGTCTTCTCAAAAACCAGTTGCATAAATTTGCTAATTCAGACCAGGTCTAGTATAAACTCCATTCTGTGCCATTTGCGTCACTAATTACACTTCATGTGCCAGTCTCAGGTCAAATCCTATAGACTTACCTTCCCCTGTGATGTTCTGGGAACTGTCTCCTGTCGTAGCGCCAATTTTATATATTACTGACAATTATTTTCTTTGTGATTGTCTTTTTATTGCTTGCCCTCTGGGGACTACTCTGCAGGAGGTCCCTGACGACATGGGATCAAAAGGCCTGAGTAAGTGATCAAAATACTCCCAAGTTATTTTAACCTCCATCTGAAAAATTACTACTTTTTTTTTTTTTTCTAACAGATCTCTTTGAGACTGATGCTCTGCTGGCATAAGGAGGTTGACTCTAAGAATGTTTCATAAGCTTTTTCTAGTTTGTAATGTTCTGGGGGGGTGTTTTGTTTTCAGGAACATGTTACTTTAAGTTCATGTGACTATCACATTTTTTTGTTGTTGTTGTTCAGAAGCTTACCAGTGCTTACTTGTTTGTCCTTAATAGTATTGTGTTTTTAAATTTGGTATTTTTTTTTTCATGTCACTTTTATCTTCTCTTTGTGTTTTTATTTAAAAATAACCTATGTTTTTTTACAGTAGCAGTACAACCATTGCTGTAATACTTTAACTAGTTACAGTTTTCAATCTCTCCCTAGGTGACTGATGTTTACAGCTACTTAAAACAAACAAAAAACTTTGCTTAATAAATGCCCTGAGAGTTTTTCTGACCTATTTGAACTCTTGTGATGATTTTAGACCAGATAGAGGGGTAGCTAATAGAGGAGAAACTTAAGCATTTGTTGTATTTCTTGCAGAAATGTTAACTACTTCAGTACAGTAAGATTCAAAAGTTGCTGAGTACTCTTAACAGATCTGTTTGTATACACAGACACAACCACCGTACTAAAATGACAAATAAAGAAAAGTCAAGACCCTGTTCTCATCACAGATATCGAACACACACACACACACACACAAACACACACTTATGCATTTATGAACCTAAGTATAGACGTACACCACTTTTTACAACTAATTTCAGAAATACTGTACGTAAGTTACACCCTGTAAGGAAATGTTAATTTTAATGACTTTACATCTATACTTAGGTTCAGTCGTGAAATAAAAATTCTAGTAGCTCTAACATTAATTTCCCATTTCTGAAACAGCTAGTTTCAAGGAAATTATTGATCTAGAGCAGAAGCTTATAACAGCCTTTATGGCCTTATGATCATATCTAATTTAAACTATGTAATGATACAGAAATGACACTAGGTGAGTCTGCTATAAAAACAAATGGCTTCTAGCCTGTTTTGCAGCACAGTCAGACTTTTTGAAACTGCCTTATTACGCTTAATGCAAGCTGTGTTACTTGGTCTGTGCAAGACTGCTGTTCTTGCTGGCATTTTAGGCTTTACATTTTTGGCAATTGTGTCCGTTAACAGTGTCTCCCATTCATGTTCTACCATGAGGCTTTTAAACATCACTGTTTGCCTCTCCAATGGACATTCTTTTTCCAATACATGAAAATAAAATGGAGGTAGAACCAAATTGCTGGTACTCAGAAATATTAGGAATATTTGTCTGTTTTTCCTGCACAGAAATGAAATGAGGGAGTTCAGTCTAGCTAGAGAGTTGTGGTTTAAAGACATTAGTTCACTTTATTCAAAAACATTTTAAAAGGTTGATTAGTTTACATATGATGACTTTTTTCGCTATTTATTAATGACTAGAAGCATACTTGCTTCGTAACTGTATTCTTAGCTCTAGAGTCCCTCTGCTTCCTTCTCTTCAGTCTTGTAAGGGAGGAACTGCACTAAGTTTAATTCATTATAAAGGCTCTTTATGACAACAATATGTGTTATTCTATGCATATAGTTAGGTACATAATTTCAAATTAATTGTATTTTATTTGTATGAGTCAAACACAAGCTTTTTCATGCAGTCTTAACCTGTGAATGTTATTGTTTCTCATTATGAATTGACACGGTCACTGGCTGGCTTAAAAATTGATTCTTTACAATAAATTCAGCAATATCAAAGTTCATATTTGTTCGCTAGATTTGTAGAATTTTCAGGTAAGAGAATAGATTGATACCTGGAATTCTTCAATTGCATTAATTTTTATCATAGACATATTTAACACCATTACATAGCTTCAAAAATTAAATATAAACACCTTGTAGCTACTGAAGTATTTCGATTACTATTCAAAAAGCATTAAATTAATATAGTTAGTCCAGAATAAAATTCAGGAGCTTTAGAAAACTAAAGCCTTACGGGTATGTGGGGGGGGATTAAATCTTAGTTCTGCATTGCACTTCAAGTAGACTATTATACCATTGGAAAGTGTCCATTATTGAATGTGCTACAGTATATTTCCTGCAGTATAGTCCAGCATTTTCTGCGGCAAGACTCTTAATGTAACCAGTAAATTGCCTGCATAAAACTTGAAATGCATAACCCCATAGTTTGTGCACAACAAAATTAATCTTGAAGTGAAAACCTAAAAATTGCAGGGTTACATGTGAACTGTGAATTAGTGTACTTTTCGTAATCTTATTTTGATGTGCTATTTAATGTTTTTCTTTTTATTAACATAAATTCCTTTTGTATGAAATTAAGCTTGATCCTGAGAGCTATGAGAAGTACCTTAAAACTTTTATATGCAGTATGTATTGATTTCAGCATTTTGATATCAGTATTGTCTTTCATCTGAATTATTTTGTGTCAATTTGCTTTCTTTTGGACTCATGCCATTAGTGTATGTTCCTTATTTTTTTTTTTTCCGTTGTGTTGCACTTTCAGAGCATGTAACCTCTAATGCCAGCGATAGTGAAAGTAGTTACCGTAAGTGTTTTTAAGTTCTTCCTTTATTTAGAGTCTTTGTTTAGTAGCTCTTTCTTTGGTTATGTTCGTTTGTTTTTTCTGGGTATTTACATGTTAAATAGAACTTCCTGGTCGCCTTCAGGTGAAATCCATATTAATGTATTTGGTGGGGTACTGCAAATTGTGCTGTGTCTTTATTTTTAAAAAACTGACTAGAATCACTGCAAACCTTCTTTATGCCTATTTTTTTGGTGATCTATCATTTTCTTAGCTTAGCTTAATTTGATTCTATTCCTATTAAATAAAAAAAATGCAAGCTAGCTAGACCTATTAGAACCTAAATGTAAATTTAATGCTGATAAATAAAAATATATGTAGTTGAGCGTAATCCTGGAAGCGTAACTAAACTGTGTAATCCGTTAAATAGTACAATAGCTATCTACAGTTTTTCACAACTGGTACTCAGATTTAATATGTATAAACTTCTAATGGAACTAAAGATAAGCAAACATGTATTTACCCTTGCTTTCAGCTTTCATTTATCTATTTTGTCAAGCGTGGGTGCTTAGTATGAATTGTCTTCAAAGCATATGACACACACTCAGTGCTGAAGTCAGTTATGACAAATTAACACACGAGGCACGCATGCACATCCTCTCTCTTTCTGAAGTCGTAATATCTTTTAAGTACTAAACTGAGTTAGCTTTTTTACTAGCTCAAGCTACAGTAGTACTACATGTTCACAGTGGGTAATATGCTGCATGATGCTGCTCTGAAATGCTTTTAAAATGTCTTAAACCAGAGCCAGAACTTGAATCTCACTGGTCATTTCCAGTGAACAACTCTTCAGTAAGATGCGCAGTCCAGACCTGGAACCCAGGATAGAACAGGGCAGGAGGATGAAAAAGTAAAGGATTTGATGTGGAATATGAAAAACAGGAACAGTAGAAGTCACACAGTGTGGCACTGAGTGGCTCACTGATCAGTTCCTTGTTGCCTGCTGACTGTAACGGGCACTTCAGAAACAGGTATAATGTATGTTAGGGTAATAGGAAGGGTGGTTCGTTAACAGATACATTTGTTTGGAAGCTGTTGATCTTCTCAGAGGTGATAATCCATGTCTTTCCTACCAGATGATTATACCCAAGGAGAGAATTCATACATGTATATAAAATGCTAACAGTGTCAGAGGCTGCAATTGAAAAGAAACCACCCCGGGGGAAACATTTGTATTCCCTGAGAATAACACAAAATTGAATGTGTATGCAAAGTGCCTTTGAGAAACTTACAAATTTTAACTGTTTTTAATGACACACCATAAAAACTATCTAACAGTGACTGTTTCTTCATAAATTTGCTGCTTTCCTCTCCTCCTCCTGAAGGTTTTCCTCAGAGCTTGCTTTATTTATGTTTAAAGCTTGTTATTGGTACTACTAGTTAGTTATTTACTCCATTGTTACTTGAGAAGCCCTGATTTTATTGTGAATGTCATGGATTTGCTTATCTGAATGTGTAATTCCAAGCACTTTTTATTAAAATATTTTTTTTTAATTTCTTCTTACTGCTGTCTAATATGAAAGTTATCTTGATTACAGATGAGTACGGTTGTTCAAAAGGTTCATTCTATTAATATTAATTTTTCTAAAGTTTTGAAAAGCAGTGACAGTATACACTTTTTGCCCTAACCAGGGGAACTTGTTACCTCTTTGGTAATTTAACTAATTTTTGACCTTATAGCAATGTGACTTCTCCAAAGTATCTAATTATGAGAGCTGAAATATGAGACCATAGATGAGTTGATAGTTGGTGACTCCCTGTTCTTCTCCCTAGCTTAAATGGGGTCTGAAAGTATATACTGTCCTGAAATCCATTTGCATGAGTACCTTTTTGAGATATTAAAATATACAGGTTGCATGTTTTCACATCTGTCTTAAGGTATTCCTCAATTGCAGTAACTTAAAAAATTAAGATGTTCATCCGTGTATTGCTGTAGTACAGTTTGAATGGAAATTTATTACAAATAAGAGAAATATTTCTCTTACTGAAATTGTGAATTTTAGGTTTAAAAGATCAATGGTGTTTGCTATGAAATAAAGGATAGACATATAGAAAGAATATATGAATTTCTAAAAGCCTTCATCTGCCATCTGTTTCTCTACAACTGTGGTATAGCATTGATATGTTTCTTTGCCTGTTGTAAGTATGGCTTATCAACTCCAAAGAATGTTCTAAAATTACACAAGTAACTTACTGAAGGACTGTATTTTATTAAAAGTTCATAGTAATGTCATATAATTTGAGTTTGTATCTTCAGTATTGTCTGCTGTCACGGAGTTAATTTTTAAAGATTTCATAGCAAGAAATCTTACTCGGAGATACCTTATTAGACTAGAAATAATCTTTTAGAGAGATGGCAACTGAGGTATATTTCTGATGCTTTCATTAACATGTAAAAAGCCTGCAGCTGTCAAAGGTCAAAATTCAGTTATTTTAGTTTCATTCACTGCTGATGTGCTTTCTGGATCTGAGGCCAATAAGAAGCATTCTTTGTTTTCAATTTCATTTTTAAAAATTCACTAATAAAATGTATTTTTATATATATATATATAATTAGAGTGGTTGACGATGTTTATGTAGATGCACTTCATGATAAAATTACTGGAAGATATGTACACCTTGACATATACATGGTTGTCAGCCCTGTATAAGAGTAGAAAAATGTTACTATAAATGCTATCTTCAAAGTATGGGGAACGTTCATGATGAAGGTGGCATTGCCTCTAGCAGTGAATGATAGCATGCATGCATTTCATCAGGAAAAAGTGTATAAGAGCATTTCAATAATGCCTTAAAATTCTTCTTGTGCTTGATGTCAGTTTGACATGCTAACATAAACCAGGAAATTATTTATACTGTATGTGTCTTATGCTTTAAAATTTTGTGTTTGACTTATCTTTGTGACTTTTATAATTCATCGCTCTTGAAAAATGTCCTTCATCAGTATCGTTCTAATGCATATTAATGGGGAATGTCTGTATCATCATACTTCATTGAATGACTCAATTTAAATATGTTGATTTAGGAAAAAAATACATAGATATGTCTTTGCATTTACATTTTAGGTGGCCAAGAGGAATATGTCTTGTCATATGAACCAGTCAATCAACAAGAAGGTTTGTAGATCTTGCTCAGTATAAAATACCTATCTGAATTATCAGAGTACTTCACATACCCCGATGCTCATTAGCATCATGATAAACTTCTGCACTGTTTTGAACTTGTTACCTTTATTCAAATGAATAAAGCATAAAGGCATAAATTATTAGATGCAATTGATAAATTATTTAGTGCAAGATCCAAAGGTGTGCTACTTAAAATAACTTATTATGTGTGGTTTACATTGCATAAGGAAAATAAGGTATGTTTAGCAGCTTTGTTAATGTAAACCTCAGAAATTATAGTTTTCTTCTGTTTCATATTGCTTTAGCATTCTCACTGTTGCAGTTCCTTTTCTCTGTTGCAGCAAAAAGTGTGTCAGTAGATCATTTGTCTATTTTAGTAAGCTTTAATTGAAACATCTCTAAAATATGGTGGTCTTCCATTCCTGTATTGACTTCTTATATGGCTAATTTGGTTAGCAATTGCTAAGTGATTATTTTTTCTTTCAGGATAAAAAAAAAATTGAATGCAATGGAAATTGATAGGAGAAAATATTTTCTCACACTTGAGGGTCTGACAAAATGAGAAACACCTTTTTGGTTGGCATTAGCTTCCCAGGTTCTGACATCTTAATAATTTAGTGAGAACAATAGTAATACCAAGTGAATTGATGTCAAGGTTGAAGAGAAAGGATGTGAATGAGACTTTGCACAAGCCAATGGTTTAGTAACTACCATATTGTAAAACTAAAGATTTTAGAGAGCCAAGTGCTTTGGCATTAAATACATGACTGTAATTCCCCTTATGAGTCTAACATAGAGTATGGGGAAGGCCATAAAAGAACCAGCACTTTGTTCCTTTGCTTAGAAGCAGTAATACATTCCCTGTATATGTTATCTGCATTTGTCCACTAATTCACTTCCACAGTATTTTTTTTTTTTTTTTTTAAAAGCCCAGAGGAATAAAGAAGTGTAATGACCAAAATAGATTAAAAGGTGCTTGGACTTGAGACACTGGTGGGCTGCCCTTAGTCTTTAAGCAAAGTTGTTGGTTATTAAATTAATGGTTGACAGTTACTGGATCCAAGACATTCCTTTTGTAAATACATTAATTCCCTGGAAAATAAATAGTTCTGAGAGTCAAATTAAAATATATTTTATGGGTGAGACTTTATTTAATTTTGACTTATTTGTGCAGTAAAGACAGACTGAATCTAAAACTAAAATTTATACACCTGAAATTATGCCACTGCCAAGGTGCTTTGGCATTGTTGTCTTCATGGCTCTTGCAGCGTAAGATATTTTCTGCTTAAGCTTAATTTTGAACCAAAAGTCCTTTATAACTTTATAAAAAATGAAGCTACTTTTAAAAGATGCTATACTTAATTTTATAAGGGTGTTAATAGTTACAGAAGCTATCTGTAGTTGTGTCTTTTCATGTATGAGTATTTAATCATGGTCTTGGAGGAAAAGAAGCAGCTCCTCCCCACACAGAGCTAGAATTTCATGCACCCTGCTATTGCTTAGGTACCTCTTTGAAGTGAAAAGATTTTCAAACTTCCCCCAATTGTTTTTTTCATTAGAATAAAGGATGTTACTTTGTAAAAAGATTTTTTTTTTTTTCCAAAGCCTCCATAATTTAAGACTCATCTGCAGTCAGCCAGGATAGTGATTTGAGAGTGGAGATCTAATATCTTACTGTGACTATGGTATTAATTGATTTACATTCTTGAACATGTTTTTCTTCCCTGTAGAAATAAATATTCTTTTAGGTATTAAAATCATTACCATGTGATGAAGCTTATTTTGCTGAACTGTGAAAGTTAGTAATCATACTGAAATGTAACTGATATTATTCTTTTATGTTTAATAGTCAGTTACACTCGACCTGTGATTGTTTTGGGACCCATGAAAGACAGAATAAATGATGATCTAATCTCAGAATTTCCAGACAAATTTGGCTCATGTGTTCCACGTAAGTCTCAGCAAATACTAAAGCAATTGTAAATTATTTTTTTTTTCCTGTTAATTTTCTTAATAGACATCTTCGGTGTGTAGAGTTAAAAAAAAAATACTGTCTAAACTTTATAGATCTGTCTTAATTGCCTGTCATTTGCTTGTGAAAATTTTACAGTATAAATGGGAAAGTATTTTTGGATATTGTAGGGGAAAAAAAGTAATTGTTTTTTGTTTTGCTTTAAAAATTACTGGTTTATATTTGAAGATACTACTAGACCAAAACGAGATTATGAGGTGGATGGACGTGATTACCATTTTGTCACTTCTCGAGAGCAAATGGAGAAGGATATTCAGGATCACAAATTCATTGAAGCTGGCCAATACAATAATCATCTTTATGGAACAAGTGTCCAGTCAGTGCGAGAAGTAGCAGAAAAGGTAAATCAGTGCCAGTTACTTTCATTTACCAAGGTGATTATCTGACTGTGCTGACAGGGGAAGAATGGCAACAAGCTATTAGGAACCCTCTGACTTTAAAAGGAATTTGTACAAAACTAGAAACAAAGCACATTTTCGCAAATGAGTTTAGGGAAGCAATAAAGCTTTGGAATAATTAAAGCATCATGATTAAACTGTGGGAAAAGAGCAACTGTAGTTTGTGCCCTCTTATAAAAAAAGAGAACAGAGAAGAAACAATTTGAATTACAGGCTAATTGGCCTAGCTCATATAAATAGATCATTAGCTAATTAAGAGTAGTTGTGGTGGAGTTGATTAATGGGATGATCCATTTGATATAGACCTGTGCAGAAGAAAACTTGTAAAAATTTTATTCTTTGTGCCCTTCATGGATTTAGCTGACAAAGGGAAAAGAGTAAATGTAATAAACTCAATTTTAGAAAGACTTTACAAAAGTACCACTACATTTTGAAGACTGAACTTACTGGTTTTATCCTGAACAGATTTTAGTTAATTATTTCCTACAAAATCTAAATATTTCTGAATTCAAACTGAAGTTTACTTGAGTTCTCTGAAAAGGAGTTGGAAGAAGGAAGCATATTTCTTAGAGTAAGATGCTTGTTTTAAAGAAAATTTTTTGGTGAAAATTCTTTACAAATGTTCCACGTTAGGTTGATGAGAGTTGTTCTACTGCTTACAAATATGGTGCATTTGCAGTAGACAATGTTACCTGGTCTGTATGAGAGAAGAAACAGATATTTTCTAGGTGGAAACTCACAAGTGTGAGCACTTCCAGTCTGGACATGCAGAGGGTGAGTGCGGTTAACCCATGTGACAGGGGAGTGGTGTTAGTCCTCTGGAAAACAGTGTAGACTATTCTGCCCAAATGGCTAAGTATTGTTATTTCTGGAAAGTGTAATTTACTGGAATCTAAAGCAGGATGAACATGGTGAGATTCTGTGGTTCATGTGATGAAGTTTTTTTTTCTGCTGTCTTACCCTATGGAATAGAACCTGACTCCGTGGTATATAGCAAGAAAAGAGAACAAAATTAATTACAAAATTGCTAAAGTAAATGAACAGTACATTGCATGGGAGGCTGAACGAAGTTGTGAAACTATCATATGTAGTTAAATGATGAAACTATTTATTGAACACCTTAAACGTCTTAAACCTGTTGGCAGTTGCTTCACCTGCTGGTGCAGATACAATCCTTCGGTTCCATCCTAGACCTGAAATTGGCTGTGTTCTTTTGCCCATCTAGTGGGATTAGTTAAGGTTCAAAACGATTATGAATCTTTTATAAATGGGCATGAAGAACAAAGTGCTACCAGATGTCTCCATGCTACTAAATCTCTTGTACGGGCACTGTGATACTTGGGTAGATGCAGCAATTTCTCAGTTCCAGTTACTGTTATTTTTGTGAGAAACAGTGGCCTGTCCTTCAGAACTTGACTTCAGAATTGTGATAGGGCTGTGAACTGGTCAATCTGGGGGTCACTCTCTACTTGTATTCCTCTCTGTCTCACTTGAGATGAGTCTCTTCAGTGTGTCTTATTATTAGATACAAAAGATTATTTCCAAGTTTTTGATGATGAATTTAGGGAATGACACAACAGAAGTGACTGCTACTACCCCCAAAAGTACCAGAAATGGTATTCTTGGAATAGCTTTAAATTGTGTTTGTTTGTTCATGCTTCCAGTTGATCCCCTCCTCCCTCATTTACTTACCTATAATGGACACAACTAAAGATGCTTTTTAATGTCATTGTCAGTTATTGTGAAAGGCACCGAGTTCTGTCTGTGTTTCTCAATCAGGTGCAGTGTAAGTGAGGAATTAAAAAATATGTACAGTATTGTTTAAATGCACTGTGCGAAGAGCAAAATAGCTTCCCTGGATGAAAACATGGTAATCGTATCACGAAGTACTTGCATTTCTTTTCCTTGTCTTCCAAGTCTTCACTTAAAAGCAATTTTCATATCCTTTTTCCTTTGGAATCACAATCGGCTTGCAGATCTCTGTATCTGAGGCCACTGGTTCATTATTGCATGTTCATTATTGATTTGGAATAAACTGTCACAGTTATATTCCATAAGGTCCTGTGCTGGCCATCTAGTCCTCCACCCTTTGCCCCAAATCCTTTGGCACCCGGCATAAATTTTTGGGCCAAACACAGCAACTATTGTCTTATCCCAAAAAGAAATGGACCAGGTAATGCTCTTAATTCTCAATTCCCAGAGCACACGCCACATTTAAAGAGAAACCATTTGAAATATGTGGACACGTCAGCACATGAAGTAAAACACTCTGCTAGAATATACCAACACCTTTCTTAAATGATACCAGTCAACATCCAGATCCATGGACTGGATCTGGGAAATGGCTGTCATCTGTTGGAAACAAACAGATAGGTGTTGTTCATGTGGGAATAACACTTCTATCTGTAAGAATTCTTGAAATAAACTTCTGTGGTTTTGTTGTCAAAGAGGTCAAATATAAATGATCCTAGTGATCTCTTCTGCCAGGAAGCAGAAACATGTCAGTCATTTCAGACTGCAGTCACTATCTTACTCATCAATATGCCCTCCAGGAATGAGGTCTCAGGAGTTCAGGAAATGCGTTGTATGACATGAGTAACCTCTGGTTTTGTGGTGCTTTTGGGTCTGTATCCTGGCTCTCAGAAATCTGCTGCTCACATTGGTCTCCTGCTGAAGAATAACCTTTTCTTACTTTAGTCACCAGACGGTGGTTTTCTGTTCCTCTCTCCCCGTCCCTTTCTAAAATGGTGGTATGCCAAATTACTGCTGTGCTACTCAAAGGAAAGAAATAAAACTGTGTGAGGTGGAAATGAGCGTAGCAGAGTCGAGAAGAGCTGAGGAACAGGAAGAGCCTTTATGATGAGATACCCCAAAGAGGTGGAAAATTGCTTATAGTGGAAGAATAGAGGTGGGGAGAAAAGCAGCCCTACCACATTGTCTTCCAACTGCCCAAGGAATGGTTGTTACATTTGTTTCTTAAGAGATGAAAAAATAATCAGCCCAAACAAATTACATTCACCATCTCAAGCTTGGTATTCTACTGTGTGGTACCTGGGGGGGGGAGGAGGAGAGTGCTTGTATTCAGTCCCATTTAATGATTCCAGTGGTGGCCTATTTCTCTGCCGTCAGGGGCGGTTACTCCCTCGGGTATGCCAGGTAAGTCATCTGGCTCCTCTCTAAACTGCATCTGTGATGTGGTCACCTCCCTAAAGGATCTTCAAATTATTAAAAATAATAAATAATTTTCGTGGTGTGGTTGAAGTACAGCTGTTCCACTGGATGATGCTGCACTGTTGATTGGGCTGCAAGCTCTGGTGGAGAAAGGAAGGAAGAAGGGTTAGGAACATCTCAAGTGATGTAGGATCCCAGCGGAGGAGCATTGTGGGACCTTGTGCCAAAGTGATGAAATCATATCATCATTGCTGCATATACTCTTAATTTTGTTAGCTTCAGTGGAGACATGTTTTCTAAATTATACTATGCATACCTGTGACTTAAATTTTGCTTAGTGCCATCTTCCCTTCTCTCTCACTTTTTAGGGTAAACACTGCATTCTTGATGTTTCTGGTAATGCGATAAAAAGGTTGCAGATTGCCCAGCTGTATCCAATCTCCATTTTTATTAAACCCAAAACAGTGGAAAATATCATGTGAGTAAAAGTAAAGTACCTCAGGCAAAATTGTTTGAGACTGTCATTGTATTTGAAAAACCTACTGCTAGTTATGTGAAGACAATTGTAATATTTGCGTTTCGAACAATATTTAATTTCCTGAGTTTAATGTCTAGGGACTTTGAGATGGTGTTTCTATTCCAAATTACAGTGTTTGAGAAGAAACGTCATTGTGCTAAATTCCATGCAACATAGTATCAGAACAGCTCATTCCCATTACAGTCTTTGCTTATGTGTCATTTAGGAGACTGCCTCTTACTAGGGTTAATAATCAGACAACAGTTTAAAACCTTATTTCAAAAAACTCCCAAGTATTTGACAGTAGTTTTAAAAGGTATAATATGTTCAATTTCAGGGAAATGAATAAACGCTTAACGGAAGAGCAAGCCAGGAAGACATTTGAGAGGGCCATGAAACTGGAGCAAGAATTTACTGAACACTTCACAGGTGTGTTTTGCTTAGGACTGTTCCCTTGCCAGAGCTGAAATTTTATTGCTTGCTGTAAAATAGGAATTGCTTCACTGCTGAGATAAGGCTGAACTTCGTTTTCCGGCTGATCTGTCAGGCATAGAGCCATCTTAGTACCTCTACACTGATTTCAGTTTGATCAATTAATTCAATATATACAGAAATTTACTGGGAGACTAATTTAGTTTTTAAAAGCTGTGAGACTTCCTACCATTTTCCTAGGTATTGTAATACAGATGCTTGCTTTGTTGATACATTGTACACTTCAAGCTTTTTATTTGCAGAGCTGAGAGTGCCCAGCAAAGCTCCCTGTAGAAAATGAATAATTTCCATTTTTTTTTTTTTTTTTAAATGAGGGAGTAAAGAATTATTGTAATTAATTAAGCCATATGCATTATGGTACTCTAGCAAATCAGATTTGTGCATGCCACAGACCAAACTGTCACAGCAAGGGATGGGCTGCAAGCACTCAGACTGTGCCAGTTGTTTGCATTGTGGCTTGCAGTAGGAGGAGATGATCAAGTCAGGATCTTCAGGACAGAAATGAGCCTCCCCTATTCCTGTCCTAGATAGACGCTCACCCCTTTCCTTCCTGTTACCTTCTCTTTTGCCGTGTTTCAGTGTTTGCTGCCCCATTCACCTCCTTTCTGTGACATGACTCCTGTGCCCATCCTTTTTCCACGTCTTACGTGGGCAGAGCTGCAGATGCAACAGTCTGCACCTGGGCAGAGACACAGGAAGGGATGGTGGCTTCATCTGGGAGGAAGACAGAGGAAGCAGTAGACTGCTTGCCCCAGTCTTCCCGCTGCCTTGTTCTCCACATTGTGTGCTACCCACACAACGCACAACTTGAGTCAATCCCATTTAGTTTGACTCCCTCCCTCTCTGCTACCTCGCAGCTGTCCGTTTATCCCAGTACTGCATCCAGCTCTCCCACTCTTCCCATAGCACTCTTATCTGTCCGCACCCAGAAAGTTACGGGACTCTCAACATATACTGCAAATCCTTCCTATTATAGAGTCCATTACCAAGTGACTTGCAAATGGGTCAGGTTTGTTCAGGAAACAAATGACTTTATTTTAGTTGATATTAATTAAATATTTAGTTCGTAGCTGTTATTCTCTTAGGCTGTCTCGGAGCATTATATAAGACACTTTATCAGGAAAATAAGGGACATAAGGCGTTTCAAAAACCTATGGGCTTTTTTAAGCACTCTAGTATTCAGGGCCATGTTTCTTCTTAAAAGTATAGGGCGTGTTGATAAAGGAAGATAGCAATGGTCAGGTTTCTGTCCTTGATAATCCAGTTCAGGCCAGAAATCCTTTTCTGAATCTGTTTGAGAGACCTGAAGACATTACAAATCACACTTACTACTTACAATTTGGAGACTGCCACCCATATGAATCAGGTCGTAAAACAGAATGTGTGAACATTCCTTGATCTGTTAAAAAATACCACATCGTGTGGGGTAAGTGAAATCAACTTCATCAGCAGGTTAAGTTTAAACAGACTTAAACTTTGCACTGAAGCACATGAAGAGCACATCCATTTTCTGAGGGTATTGAGCTTTGGAAGAGGTGTGGTTAAACATAGCTGGAAAGAAGATAGATCGTGAAGCTTACGGCCACTTGCATTGCAAACACATTTCTAAATCTTTCTAATGCACTGTTGTGCTGTGAATATTATACTTGACCTATAACAGCTGAACAGCCTCCTCCCACAGGCACTAAGACAATGGGCTGCAGATAGGCAGAAAGTTTTTAAGGGATGGGAATGATGAGAAGGAATAAAAAGTAATTTGCATGAAAGCAAAGCTCAGAAGCAGCAGTAATATATTAATGCACAAAAGAGTGAGTCTGGCCTGCCTCCAAAATTATCTTTCATGCTAAACTTTGTTTCTTGGATTATCAAGAAGTGATTGGAAGTGGTGATCCTAGTTAAAAAGATGTTACTATCTCACGGTCATTGCTTTCAGGGTGAAGTGTGGTGAGAACAGCTCAAGCTTCATCTTCATTTTTACCAGACAGTACTTTACTCTGATATGTCAGAACACATCCATATTGGCTGATTTCCAATTTTTTTTCTAGTCTTGGGGCAAATATATCTAACTTAAACCATCTGAATATAAATTGCACTTTTAACTATATAAGGAAGCCTATTGTCTATAGAACTTCAATCTGTTGTCTGGGCAATAAACTCCATGAGTTCCTCCTCATTTTGGCCAAAAGCAAAGGTAGTGCTCGCAGGTAGAAATCCCAAGGTCAGCCAGCCTTGCTATGAAGTTTCAGGATCCAGCTGAGTTCACCAGTCTGCATTACACCAAGCCTAATTATGACTGCATGAGCATGCAGCCCTGTATTCTGTCTTGCCTTGTTGTGTTGGAAACACACATGAAAGTTGGACCAAAAAGAATACCGGAGGATGCAAATTGACTCAGGCAATTTCTAACATGTGGTTAGGAAAAGCAAAAAAAGGTCTCAGTTGTATGTGTATACTTGTAGTAAAGTGAAAACCGCTTCCTAACCCCAAGCCTCTGAGTGGGAGAGATGGTGCTTTGTGTATCCTGCAGTGTCATCAACAACGTGCTTCACTCCAGCACAGAAACGAGAAATCTCGTTTAGATTGCTGAAGGAATGGGTCCATTCCTTCAGCAATCTAAAATCCTCTTGCCTCTGAGAGAAGAGAACAGCTTGGCTTGGAACATCTTGGTTTCTGTACGGAGCTAGGAAGGATGATTGCTGATTGCCACATTATGTTTTGCAGCTATTGTCCAAGGAGACACGCTGGAAGAAATCTACAACCAAGTGAAACAGATCATAGAGGAACAGTCTGGGCCTTACATCTGGGTTCCAGCAAAGGAAAAATTATGAAAACAGATTTTTATTTTTCATTTTCTAACTGACATCACCTACTACATCTGACGACTCTTAAGCCCTTCCAGTGGAGCCTGCCTCTAGTTCTTTCCAGCGTGGTTCATACCCTAACCATCACATTCTGCAGTTCCCATAATGCTTTATATTTGGTGTCTCTCTTAGTTTAAATAATTTGTATTATTGTGTGTTGTTGGTTTGCCATTTTTCAAACATGACAATGGAATGGCCTGACCAGCTATTAGTTTGGGGTGGGGGTGGGAGGGAATTGCTTGGTAAAATTCCTTAATGTTTAAGGGAAAGTAACTTTCAAAGATTTTTCAAAAAAGCTTTATAGACGTTCTTTTAAAATTTCATAACAATTGAAAGAAAAGTTGTATTCAAGGAAGTTGTAAATCATGAGTAACTTTGCACGCTTAACTTTAATAACATGGTTTGGTCAGGGCAATCAATTTCAGGTCTTATTTTCTGCGTTAAATTTTATTCTCACAGGTTTTTTTGTTGTTGTGGTTGTGGTTTTTTTGTTTTTCTTTCTTTCTTTCCAGGCAGTTAGAGAGAAACTTTCAGATTTTGAGTTAACATTTTCATTAACTCCCATTACTACTCCTCAAGGGATATTCATCTTCATAATTTCATATGGGTATTCTTATAATCTATTTTTTCATTTTTTGCCAATAAAATTGCTAGGGACAAAGATGTGTAATGTTTTTAATCTTCCTCATGAAACACTATTTATAGTGTCTTACAGAAATTGTTTATAGATAATGGTCATCACACTTTTTGAGCCTAAAATAAGTTTAGGTGCTAGGAAACCTTGTATTTTTCTGAGGAATGCCAGATTTCCATTGGCAGTAATACAGAAAACAGCTGCAGAGATGGTCATTAGGGTAATGAGAGAATGATTCATAGCCTAAAAATGTGTGTGTTCTTAGGGGTCAGATTTTAATGAGTATTTTACCCACAATAACTGCCTATTTTGTTATAATAAATATATATATATTAAACTTTCTTTAACTAAACTCTGTAACTATGGGAATTATTTTCTTTACATAGTTGCGCACACGTATAAATATATATATATAAAATATATATTTTTCTTTTACCACCTACTCCTAGCTTTTTGTTTTAAATAAAAATACAAATTAGAATTTACCTTCCTTAATCATGAGAAATCAAATGGGCTATGGTGGCTGGGCATAAAGCCCAGGGAATATTAGTTACAAGAAAAAAATACATGCAAGTTCTCCTCTTTTCTACAGAGTTTCAGGTGTTTGTCCTTCCCCACCAGCCCCTTGTAATATGCATGTCTTAACCAAAGGGAGAATTCAGAGTCAAGAATGCATTTTATTTTTCTGTACATGTTCATTTCAGATTGCGTAGGCACAAGATCTTCCATTTGCAATGCACAAACTTGTGTGCTGAATGTTATAAATACGTTGTACCAAAACATGGAACTACCTTCAGTAATGAAATTCTCTAATTCCGGTATTATTTGGTACCTGCCATTGCTTGTTTTAAAACTTGATTGTTTATAAGAGGGGTGTACTTAACGACAGTCACGGGGCAGTTACACGACCAAATTAGCTTTGGTTTGTAAAGAATTATCAACACTATCCATTCCATTTGTTAGAAAGAGGAGAACAGCTAATAAACTTTATTGTACAATATATTTGTCAAGTGTGTTTTTAATCAAAAGAAATACAAGTGTTGTAGCATTTTAAAATAATTGACTCAGGCTGTAAATGAAAATGAGGTGCTAGAGGAACACTGGTGACCAGATTGGGGCCAGTGAAGTTATTACATTAAGAACAGGTTTAAACTTGGAGCACAAATATTGCTGTTATGTAGAATGCTTGTAAGATTTACAGTGAGTGTAAGTAGCTGGTGTATGGCCCAAAATTTTTGTTTTTCTAGCTTAGTGAAGTAGATGTGCTATCCTTCTGAGATTCCTGTCTATGCAAGTGCAAGGTGTGTAAGATCGATGCAACTTCTGATAAATAATGTCATAAATTTTTAAAAGAGCTAAAAGCGTGCTGTAGTCTGCCTCTGAAAGTGACTGATTATCTGAGGCATGTAGTGGGACATCTTAAAATAGACCAACTTTAAAAAAAAATAAAATGATCTAAATCTCAGCTATCAAATATGCAAATCATGATAACATTTGAGATTTCTGTATTGTATACACTTTTTTTCTGACCTCTTTTTTTAACCCATCAGAAAGAATCCTGTTTAGCTGAGTAGATGTGTGAGAAATGACACTTTCATATATCGGAGTATCTAAGTTTCACAGAAATTCTCTCCCAGATGTTTGTCATATACTTGCCAGATGTCACCGAATACTACACTTAGACTGAAGTCCGCAGAACTTACCTTGCACAGTTGTCATGCTAGAGTGAAACCAAGTCTTGGATCAAGAAAACCCAAAGGACTCTGGGGTATCTTTGCATTTCTGGTTTTGTTTGTTTTGGATGTTGCCCTTAAGTCCTGGCAGAAAAGTTGATTCTAACAGCCCTGATGCTTCTAGTTGACTTGTTTTATCTTGTAATTTTTAGGAATTTGCATTAATGAGTGTTTCTCTGGATCTCATTTTACCTGTATTGGCTGCTGATATGTCTTTGTTTCTTGGCTACACTTTACTTTCTGTATTTTAAAGATACATTTTACAATATGCGTATTTCTCTTAAGGCTTACAATTTAACAGCTAGGGTAATTAGGAAATCCAAATGGCATAAAACTGGTGCATTACCATCCTACTTTTGCTGGCCCAGTGGAGGCAATGTGGGTTTTCTTCCCTGCCTGCTAACCCAACTATTTGTAACTGCTATACAGAAGCATGCTTGATGAAGTATTTGCTGCTCTCTATTATTATTTAGGTTAAGAAATTTAATATCTTATTAAAGCATAGATATTCATAGAGCTATGAATAAAGTAGAAAAAGAGCTAAATTTTCACAAACTGTGCTTGTATGATAGTTTAGAGGCGGTTGCATTCAGAATAGGCTTCCTGTACAAAAAGGGTTTCCTCTGCCTTCCCTGTAGAGGATCAGAGGAGCCACGGGAAAGGCCTGGTACTAAATTAATTTCTTATTAATCTTGCCCTTGCAGTCTTCAGCAACTGGTTCTAGGACTGTGCATCAGTCTTTTCATCTACGTATGTATGTAAGCCTTGCTGCAAACATCAGAGGGCTTGAGAGGTTAATCTGGCCAGTGGGAAGGGCACAGGAGGGATCAGAATAATGGATCCTTCCAGAAATTTCGAAGGACTCCAGTGGTGCTGGGTCATTCTTTAGCACTTTAGATAACAAAGGAGTGACTAATTCCAGGTAGTCTAGGCAGCCAAGAATCAGAGTTTAGCCATAAGGGTTTTTTTTAAGAAGGTCTGGAGGCATCATTATCTATTTTTTTGAAGTTCTAAACTTGAAATAGCAATTAATTGACTTAAACTCAGCTGTTGTCTTACAGGTGCTAGTAGGTGTTAAAGCTAGCAGCCTGGCCAAATTGCAATCAAGAAGCTAAGTAACTCCTGAAAGCAACCATGCATATAGACTGTCTGAAGGATGCATATGATTGTTTTTGTGCATGCTCTCAGTAGAAGCTGGTAAAGATGTGTGTGTGGGGTTCATGGCAGTGCACAGCTGTTCTTTTTCTGGTGGCTGGGTGCTGAGCTGAGAAATGGCAGTCAGCAGAGCAAAGCAGCATTAAATGGCTTTTATCTAAACAAAGTGGTACAGGCAGCTGCAGTTCTTAGACTAATGAGAAATGAAGAAAAGGGCAGCACAATTGAGTGTTGCTCTGTGAAAGCTACTCTAAAAGTCACAGCAGCTTTTAACAGAGCTACTGTCAGCAGAGTGTTTACTCTTTCTGGGAGAGAAAAGCCTTCATGGGCTTTCTCTAAAACCTTTAAAAAAGAAACTACTTCAGCTATTTCGAAGCACTTGCTATTAAATTTCAGGAGATGTGCTCATAGCACGCACTGTACCACCTGTAGAGTGTACAGGCTTCACTATTTTAAAGGCCTGGTCTTCTTGTTATGGCTTTATGGAATTCCTGACAACGCTGAGAATGTGGCAGAAAAAGTGACCATCAGCTCTGTCAGATAAAGTGCTTAGCTTGGATTGACTTTTGCTCCCTGAGCCCCAACACATAGGAAATACATAGAACTTGTACTAAAAATTTAGATTTCTTTACACAGCCCTGCCTTATGCCTGTGAGTCAGTGTGTAGCTGTTTAAGTCCATAGGTGGTGCTAAAGGAGTAACAACCTCATTGGTGCCTCAGCTATTTTGCAATTTCCTAGTCTGGATTTTTTTGCAGGCATAGAGGCAGTGTGAAGAGAGGTAGGCTTTTTTTTCCCTGGAGTCATTATGAGGTGGCATGTGCAAAGGTAAGCAAGATAAACTGTTGAACAAAGTGCACCTACAATTGGATGCTGCTGATTTTCACCGAAGAGCAGGCTGGGGAGAGCACACATGCAGAAGTGGTGATCTCTGGGTGTTCTGAAGGCTGGAAAAAACACAAATCCCAAAATTTGCACCATGAAGAGCTCCAGAAATGTCTTCTATCTTCTCTTCTTTCATGCTGGTAAGTGTTCTCCAAAACCTTTTGCTGTGGCCTGGTATCTTTGGGGTTGACTCCTATGTGAGAGGGCAAAGGGAAACTTGAACCATTTCAGAACTAATCTCATGTGGATAGGAAAAGAAAAAAAGAAAGAACAGGAAAAATAGAAAAGGAGTAGAAATAGCTGTGTTGAACACCATGTATGTGTCTTGACTCATTGGTGTCAAATGTTGTGTTTCCTCAGCATGCATCTGCTTCTTTTGGTTCAACGGTGTCTGTTTCTCACAAGTGTGAACAGTTCTATCACATTTATTTTGTAAAAATAGAAATAATTGCCTTATTCCACTTGTCACGCTCTGTGCAACATGTTGGCTTTCTCCTTTCACTCCCAAATTCTAATGGTGAATGCTTTTAATTTCACTGAAGATGTAGATGCCATTTCTGAAGCACTCTATAGTTCTTCAAAAAGACCCTAGTTTATATATTTTTTTTAATTGTTTCTGTTGAAAGCCCTTGATAGTGTATTAATATCTGTGTTGGCCATTTGGTAAGAAGTTATACAGTGTAGTACTGTTGCTTTCAGCAAAGCAGTCAATTGGACGTTTGCCGTATTTCAAATGGAAGTTGTCAGCTCCTGCCATTTCATGCTTTATGTATATCTACAGATATACAGAAGGGCCGAAATTGTGAATAAACTGGGGTTCAGATACTGATCTTCTGTTTTAGGGTGTTCTTGGTTGGCAGTAGGAAGAGAGTCTCAGTACAGACCTTGTCTGTGCTCAAGCCCACTTCAGGTGGGTTGACTTGTAAAGAAGGAAACAGGAAATTGCCTGGGATCTGGCTTTCCTCTAGAACAAAGTTCAACAGTTTGGAAAAGGACAAACTAATTACCTCTTTTAGATGAGTGAGGAAAAAGCAACAGATTTATTCTGTTTCACTATTCTGGCTGAATACAGAACCAAATGAGATTTGTTTAATGTTTTAGGTGTATATGGCTAATAATTTCTTCATACAATTCATGCATTATCTCCTGTGTGTTTATATGTAAAACCAGAATGCGGAGGCTGAAGAGTGGCACTTTGCCATACTTACATGAGATGCTGAGACCCCAATTTAATTTCCATTCGCTTGTGTTTAGAAGAAAAACCCCAAAACCTTTATCAATGAAAACATAGGCTCTTCTTCCTGCCTCAAGAAATTAATGCTGAAAATTTCGGCCAGGGAGATGATAAGTTTCTGTGAGGTGACCTTTTTCTAGCCGTTGCGCTTCTCATAATTCCTTCAACTCAGAGGTGGACAGTTGTTTCTCCCTCTACTAGCACATGCTGCCATGAAAACTTCCAGTAAGCTTTCCAAGTCTGACTTAATGTTTGTTGACAGCAGTAGAGCTGGCTCTGAGTTGCAGTGGGACAGCAAGCCAAACCCTCTGTTTCAGTATCCGGGTGCAAAACAAGCTTTCTGACACCCACCATCTTGTTAAGTTTGCAGCCACTAAGTCAGAAAATGTGCGTGATTACTATTGAGCACTAACAGAGTAATTTTAACTTACAAAGTTAAATGTGCTGTCTCAACTGCATGACAGTGGTAGGGAAGTAGAGGGCCAGCTAGAGCTTTTAGAAAAACGCGTGACAAATAATTTACAGAAGATTCCAACTTAAAAAACAAAATTGTAGAAAAGCAGTGGAATGTGGTGTCCCCTGCTTACAAAAATGATCTGTACCTGTTTATCAGCATAAACCATGCTTGCATATGCATTTTATGTACAGCTGCACCATTTGTGCATAATGACATATCCTTATAAAAACAACAGAGAGTTTGGAGCTTTGGCACTTAGAAGGGTGGCATTTGGGCCTGCTGAAAGACACATTTCTTCACTGATCAGTGGAATCTCCACTACTAAACTTGAGTCTTTTCATTCATGGAACAGCCTTCCCCTTTTCATGACTGTGGAAATGGCCACTTATGAAAGAGTGTTTTGAAGGGACAAGTTTACTTTTCTAGTTTTTGTAATAAGCCTAATGGCAAGGCTCTTGAGCACCTAAGATGGCTTTTCTTGTTCAGACCAAAAAGGGCTGGAGCAGGACTGCAAATACTAACTAGCAATTCTTGAGGCAGAGTTGTCTTTGGACAGTCTCTGTGGTTTTGTAGCGTATCATTTTAAATAATCACTGTAAACATTTTTTACTTGAGAAAAGATGAGGTATTCTTCAAGGTTTTAAGAGCAGTCTGGATGCCCTGACCTATTCTGTGTTCATTTCTTATGTCAGAAACAAATGCCATTGGGTTTCAGTATGAGTCTGAGCCTATCCTTAGTCCAACTCAGGTTTCCAGTCCAAAAAACTTCAGTATTCATGTACATTCAAATGAAAGTGGGAACTATTTCTGAAGACTCACTGTTGAAAGAGCCCTGATTTCTTTCTGTTTTGGGAGGAGGAACAGAATGAAAGGTTGGCTATTCAGGAACCTTTAAATGATAAGCTTTGTTACAAAGGCACTGATATGTTTTATGTTTTTCTCTTGGTATTGTGTTTGCAGCTCTCAGCCTGGAACATATCCGGTGGTGCACTGTCTCTGAGAAAGAACTTTCCAAGTGTAATGAAATGAGTCAGGCCTTCAGTAGGGCTGGCATCCTTCCCCCTCTGCAGTGTACAGAGGCGGGGTCAGCTGCTAACTGTACACAGATGATCAAGGTGAGTGACAGCAGTCTCATTGATTTAATTTCCCCCTGTACCTAGTACACAGCTCTGTGGTGAGTGTCTGATGATCCAGGCAGCTGACCATATGCTTCCTGGCATTTATGTCTCTGAAAAATCAAAGCATATATTTTTTTAAGAAGTCATAAAGGTATATGTATGAATGTCAGAATGGTCCTGTGTTGTCTGTTGTGCTGGTCACATGGCCAGTGATTAGGAACAGAGCAAAGGTCTTAAATATTTCCTCCCAAAAGCTAATCTTTGATTTGGGAATTGTCAGATTTATTTAGCAGATATTTAAGAAGGGATGGAGCTATAAGATGCAGACAGTAGCTAAAGCTGTGCTGCTGAGCCTGTAAGTAGATTGTATTTGGATAAGCTCTGGATCAAATTCCCATTTCGGGGTCCCATCATGGAAATTGCTGTGTATACAGATGAGACAAGCATAAAGCCAAATCAAATCTCCTAATACCAGAGTACAAAGCAGCAAGTAGGGTGAGCAAAAAGGGCACACAAACCCTGCTGTATTAATTCAGCTGCCCAGAGCATGCTCAGTTTCCAAAAAGAGCACAGCTCTTGGAAAGATTTTAAAGACTGTAAATATGTGGCTTTGCAAAATGATGTATGGAAGATAATTCTCTCCTTAGGAGGAGGTGGGAGGCAACAAGTGGATATTGGAGGAAGTGTAGAGGCAGGTAGTTGTGGTCACCTTCACTGGCAGAATGTGAGGGAAAGGAGAGGACGTATTAATGTTGCCTCTATTAATAAATAATATTCTTTGTGTATCCTGTGTTGACATGCCCAAAAATCAGGATTTTGTATAGGAAATGCAGCTCGTCAAGGACAAGAAGTTCAGAGCCAGGAAATGAGGCCTGGCAGAGTAGTTTGAAGGGAGACGAGGCAGGTGGTTGTGTGGCCAGAAAAAAGGGAACAAATTTCAGAAATTGGTATCTTGTAATTTTTTGTCAGCAGAAGCAGAAGGGTTGTCTGGCTGCTAAAACTACCACATTGCCTCTTGATAAATACTCTTACTGAGAAAAGGAATCAAGACTGTATTGAAGAATGTTAGGAGCAGATACCAATACATATGTGGATCTTACCTTGGGATTAGACAGGAAACACTTTCTAATGTCAGATCTTCTTAAAACCACTTGACTGCAGAGTTAGACTCTGCAAAGCAGGTTATTAGAAGGGCTGATGAGTGTCTGCTTCTGAAATACAGTGCACATAGAATTGCATTTGGAAATATATATTCCTATAAAACTTGATTAGCTGAACTCGGAAAGCTGCAGGTGGATAGCATGAGTACGTAGCTTTCCGATAAAATGAATTTCCACTGCAAGGCTTCTGATGAGCCTTGGTCCTTGGGACCTCTTTTTTCATGTGCTAATAATCTACTAAATGTTTAAGCTGGCCTACTCTACGTAGGACTGTGTGGAACCCCTGAGTCCATATCCGCACTGAACTCTGCTCTTTGAGGCCAAAAAAAGGAGTGGGATGCAATGGCTGAAGAGGTAGAGATATGCTGTTTTATAACACTGCATAACTCGGACTTAGTCCTGTGAATGTGTTAGCACATGGATAAGGTAAAAAACCTTTTTTTGTTGAAGGTGTTTAAAAATTGAAAAATGTCTAAATATTAAACCAGGGAACCTAACAATATTTAGTGTGACCAGAGCTATTCTTCAGCAAGTCTTTAAACAATTCCGTAAGTGATTCTCAAATGCTGACACACAGGAGTAAAGTCCCTCTGAAAATAATTAACCAGGGTATTACTATCACACATATCCTTACCAAAAATTCGTATGTGGAATAATCCTTTACTTTTGCTAAATGTATTGTCAAATACTTGCTAAAAAAAAAGAAAAAACAAAAACAAAACCCCACACTGTTGTTGATATGCTGCCTCAGCAGTGATTGTATGCATTTAAAGGAGAAGTCTGTAGTCTGTGAACTACTTCATGTTTAATACAATAATAGGCATTTTTTTCTGCCTTGTGCTGTTAATTATACACTGTTATTTATAAACAAGCTATTGATAGGAGCCACTTCTGCTAAACAGAGCTTAAAGGCTCAGCTTTCCCCTCAGGAAAGTGCTATCTCACGTAGAAATATGTCCATGTAATACAGTCCTTGTCTTCTGTGGCTGGCCCTTCCCATTTTATCTGTGCTGTTTGCTGTCTGCCACCAATTCTAGAGGCTCATTTTGTTCTCTGTGAGGTTAAGGTACTTACAACTCCCAGCTTCTCTTCTTCCTCTCACTGTCAGGTGTCCCTTCTAAACAACGGGCCATATTTGATTCCCTAAACTGTTGTCCTGTGCTTTGGCTCTCACCAGTAGAGTATCAGTAGAGTATCAGATCTATTTATTCCAGAAAGATTGTGTCCATTCTCTAAGATGCAAATATCTTCCAACCCTAACTCCTCTCTGTGTTTCCTTGGAACTTTGTTCAGCTCTCATGCGTGAGAAGCAAGTCTCGGTACATCTATTGTATCAGCTAATTAATGAATAGAGTATTTTTTTCTCCCTTGAGCCAAATAAGTAGAATATTTCAAATTACATGGCAACTTCAAATCTGATTTAGGTGTCAACATCAATGTATTACCTATGCTCTCACATGATCCCTTAAACGTTTTTCAAGCTTGTTATGCAGCTCAGCCTGGGGGAAATTGTTGTGGTATATTAGGCAGCATAGTCCTAGCGGTACCCTGACCAATGCTCAGCAAACTGCCAAGGGATGGGAAACTAAATTACCCGCCTCCAGTGCCAAGCCGGAGGTTAAGCAAACTGATAAGAAACTTGGAATCAGCTTACAAATGCAAAAGGTCAAGCTGCTGATTATTTTCTCAGCAGTATCTTGTCTCTGTGCAAGGTGCCCTCTCCTGGCTTGCAGCAGGTTCAGTGTGCAGAGCCGGGTTCAGCTGCTCAGCGCTGTGTGTAGCGGTTCCCTAGTCCCGGCTGCTGCAGGAAGGCCTATCCCGCGCTATCCAGAGCAGTCCTGCACCCGCAGCAGGATTCCAGCCAGATAGGTGTTACAGTCAGCTGCAGAGTATTGTTGGACACCTTCCCAGCAGTGGATGCCCCAGATTTGTGTTCCCTCACTTCGGACAGTCTTTTTCGATGCTTTCTCCGAAATACAGTGTCATCTGCTCCCCCTCTCCCCAAATGTGTGGCTGTTTGCTGGGGTACGAGCCAGCATGCTTTAAAGTTGCTTTTGAGTACACTTTGCCATTTAGATTTGACCAATCTAGTGCCCCAGAAGACTAGTTCAAACTATCTGTGTATGACCTCAAAAATATATTTATTTTATTTAACTCTTCAAGCTTTGGGGCACTAGCTATAGAGGTGAATGAAACTCCAAATTGATGGGCCTTAAGATTCGTCACAGAGCTACAGGATCCATTTCTAAGATTCCTTTGGACTATGAAGACTAGCGAGGCCATCATGGTCCGGGGATGGTTTCTGTGTTATTTCTGAAGGGAGGTGGTTTTGAAGTTCTAAAATCTCTCTTGGTAATCGTTCTTCAGAAATTTGAGTGCCCTTAAAAGAACTTTTTGGAGAAAAGAAAACTCACAGATACAGATTAAGGGGCCTCTTCTCCTACTTTAACGGGTACTCTGCCTCTGGCTGTTGAGAAATACTGATAATTAAGCTTCAACATAGATTCTGCCCTTGTGTCTGCACAGGATGATTTGGCAGATGCAGTGACACTGGATGGCCGTTTGATTTACCAGGCTGGAAAAGAGCATGGTCTGAAGCCTGTGGTTGGGGAAGTATATGATCAAGGTATACTCTGACTAAATAACTTTTACATCACTTAATACAAGCTTTTTCGTATGCAATTTTACTGTTTCCATTTTATTTTGGGGTCCTCCTCTTGAAGATTCTAAACAGTGGGTAATGGTCAGGTTCCCTCTTGGATGTTCCTGTCCTGGACAGGGTGTGTCAGGGAAAGAGGATACACAGGGCCGTGGCAGAGTCTGTCCCGAAACAGTTAGGTCAAAATAGCTGCTCCTGTGATAAGTTTGTTGGGTTCTTTTTTGGTTTGGTTTGGGTTTTTTTGTACTGTCTTACTGCTTACTATCTTCTCTGTTCCATGCTTTGCAGCTAAGTTAATGAATTGCAAAGCATAAGTTGTTACTGGATTTATCTCTCAGTCCCATAAATTAGAATAGTTACATTTTATTTTAATAGTGTATATGATTATCTGCTACCTGCTGGAAGAAAGGAAGGGATAGATTCTATTCCTTATCTGGGTGTCCTTAAGCTTCGAGTTCCTTTCAAGACAGAGACAATAATTCAGTGGTGGCTTGTCATCCCGACTAAGGGCTTGGTATCAACATGTTTGTGTAGTTCAGAGCTGGAAGATGTCCCCCATAGCTTTCAGAGACCCAAGGGAAGGAGCAGCTCTGGAAGAAGTCTGCAGGCACTGGTATCCCACCACTCTGCTGTGAGATAGAACTGGATTTGGTTTGCAACTGGGTCTTAGTGTGATGTGGCCAAGGCATCCACAGAAGTGCCTGTTGGGCTCAGTCCGCAGGGACTTGGATCACCTGCAGCAGCCCCCCAGCCCCCTGTTAACCACATCATGACCCTGGCAAGGGAACTGAGCTTCAGATTCTCAAAACCAAATGGGCCTCATGATCCAGAGGTTGGCTATCACCATTAGTCAGGTTATGAGCTCAAATCAGATAAAAGTGTATGGAGTTTAATGATTTCTGATCTAAATAAAGTCAGATTGAATGACCTTATGGTGACTTCAGACCCTAAACTGTTGTCTCTATGAGTTATATCAAACTGCAAAATAATGTGAATTAAATAACTGTGGTGCTCCAGTGACATTAACTGGCTATGCTGTGCCAAAATTAAGATCAAATTAGTTGACAAAGGGGGAATAATTTTATTTTTTTTTTTTTTACAATTAATTACTGGTTTCATACCAAATCCCATACTGAATCCAAACCACAGCACTATTCTAGCTACTAAGAAAAATTAACTCTATCCCAGCTGAAACCAGAACAGGTGACCTTCAAAGTTAGAGCAGATTGCCTGTGGCCTTTAAGTAAGACATTTCACGCTGAAAAGATAGTGGAGGACTCACAGTCAGCAGGTTCTCACCAAGGATGTGAACAATGTGACTTGCCTGTGGGCAGGGGAGCCACAAGAGGCCACAAATCAGTGTATGTCACTGTAATCCTGCTGCGAGGCTACTTTGGTTGCTTCCTGTGCTGCAGAGATTGGGACTTCCTATTATGCCGTGGCTGTGGTAAGGAAGAGCTCCAACATCACCATCAACAGCTTGAAGGGTGTCAGGTCATGTCACACGGGCATCAACAGAACTGCAGGCTGGGATGTGCCGGTGGGCTATCTAATGGACAGCGGGCGCCTGGCAGCAATGGGGTGTGACCTTCCGAAAGGTAAGAGTTACAGGACAGTGCCCTTCCATATGGTCTTGGGACCCTGTGTGTGGTCAGAAATGTGTGGTTCTAGCTGCTGCTTTGTTCCTTGGCTTTGATGCCCCTTGTAAGATGGAATAGACCTGATGTAGGTCTGATGAAGACTGCAGGATTTTTTTTAAAACTTGGCAAACCATCTTTTAAGAACAAAATGACTTATCCGTTCTAAGTGTTTTTAGAGATGTACTGTGGTGATGTGTTAAAATAAGATTGTAGGATCTTGTTTACGCATTGTTAAAAATTTCTCACTCTAATTTCACATTTAGCTGTAAGTGACTATTTCAATGCAAGCTGTGTTCCTGGAGCAAATGGTGTAAACTATCCCAAATCCCTCTGTCAGCTCTGCAAAGGGGATTCGGCTGGGCAGAACAAATGCAAACAAAGTTCCCAAGAGCGATATTATAACTACAGTGGGGCTTTCAGGTAAGAATCATGGTGCTCTCAATTTTTCGATCTCTGTGCTCTATCTACAGCCATCATGTCCAGGCCTCACTGATAGGAAACTGAAGCCAGAGATCTTCTGTTGATCTTGTTAGAAAATCTGCTGTTGTGTTACGACAACCATGCTTTAAACCTAGAGACTGAACAGAAATAATTCTAAACCCACTGTTTCAGGTATTAATACCTGAGTATTAAGCTCAGATAGATACTTGGCACTTACACTGGGCAGAGAAATCCCATTGCTGTTTGCTCAGTCCAGCAGCTGCTAACACAAGTCTGAGTGTTTGTTTCGGCAAGTTGTATCTTTCTCAGTAAAACCTGATAATCCTTGGAGTCTCGGAGCTGAACTGCTGCCCTACTCAGCTATTTCAGTCATCCCACCTCAGTTGCACTGAATTATTGAGTTGCTCTTCCCTCCATTCTTGCATAGCAATCTTTACCTTATTTCCCTTCTCCCTGTCTGTGTGCTATGTTGCAGCTCCCAGTCCCTGAGTAATTGCACCAACCAAGCAAGGGCAGAATTTGCTTGTGTGAAACACTTGCTTCTCTCTGTGCATTCCCCAAAGGATTGTGCAACTGCTTTAGAGAACTCTCCTGGACGAAGAAGGTCATGGTGTTTGTCCCAGGCAGCACTGAACATCTTGTCCGTGTTCACCAAATGACAGTGATAGTTTACTTCATGCTCTAACAGCCACTAGTCTCTGCCTTGAGCAAAACTCTCAGTACAAGGGAATAAGTCAGTGTCTGTGGCTGATGGAATGTAGCATACAGCCCTCTGGCTGTCAGCTGGCAGTGTCCAGTGCATGGGAGCTGTGCTTTGTAATGTATCTTCATGATTGGATTTATATTTATTAGGTGTTTGGCTGAAGGTGCTGGAGAAGTCGCTTTTGTGAAGCACAGCACAGTGCCTGAAAATACAGATGGTGAGTAATCCAGAAGCTTGTTCAATAGTGGCTGCAAGGTCTGTAATGACAGTATAATGTCAAATGTTTGATTTCGTTTGAGTTGAAGAATTGGCCAAAAGTGCTCTAATAGTTAAAACAGATGTACCCACAGATGTATATACCAGGAGATAGAGGAGTCCATGTGATGATTTTTTTTTTTTTTAAATGCTTGACAGTTTCAGTAAGGGTTAAAGGTGGGATCTTAAGCTTCTTCTGGAAAGATAGCTTAAACAGCACTAAACTCTTAGTTTTATACAGACCTGTGCTGTTACATTGCTCCTGCCTACCCAGGGATTTCATCAGAGACTAGCAGAAAGTTCACAAGATGTGGCCTGCCCTATCTGGAACTTCGTGAAATCTATCTTGAACATAACAATACTTTAATATCATGGGCCTGCCTGACCATCATTTATAGGGGGGAAAAAAAACACAACCAACCAACAAAAAAAAAAAAAAAAAAAAACCAAAACAAAACAAACCAACAACAGATGTTGCATGTGAGCCTAGACTTAGGGATGCTCATGATACTGCTGCAGACCCCAGTACAGTTCAGTGCAGTCTCACAAGTATTAAGCTGTTTATGGTCTTACCAGAGGTACAGGACTAAAGGATCATGCAGATGCATGGGATACATCATCAGGATTTGTTCACAGATGCTCAGGAGATGTGTGTTCTGCTCCACGTGTGCATGTGATGCTTAGAGCAGAGATGGAGCCAGAAGCGTCAGCCCCACCTGATGTCTGTTCCATAAGCATGTTCTGTCTGATTTCAGGAAGAAGTCTTTCTTCGTGGGCCCAGCGGCTTCGCTCCCAGGACTTCAAGCTTCTGTGCCGCAATGGCAGCACAGCTGATGTGACAGAGTGGAGAACCTGCCACCTGGCCCGAATCCCAGCTCGTGCCGTGGTCGTGCGGCCTGACGCAGATGGGACAGTCGTCTTCCAGCTCCTGAACCAGGGACAAGTAGGACACCGTTTTGTCATCAGTGTGTTGCATTTTAGAGGGATTCTCCCACCCGTCTAGCTGAATTGAAGACAGGATATCTGGGCACCTTCAGCTCTGTGGGGTTTGAAGGGGTATGGCATGTCACACATCCCAGTAGAGGGAGGGATGTGTGACAACTGCTTTTTTTCTTTCTTTAACACAACAGCAGAGATTTAATGGGGTAGGCACCAAGTTTCAGATGTTTGACTCCGCAGCCTACGGTGCCCAGAATCTTCTGTTCAGAGACGCCACAACAGAGCTTGTTGCAATCACAGCTCAGAATTACCAGGCATGGCTGGGTGATGAGTATCTTCATGCCATGCAAGCCCTGAGCTGCAATCCCAACAGTAAGTTGTCTTTAGATTCTTATTCATAACCAAGAACAAAGATAGCTGATAAGAGACAATCTATTGTGCTTTATTTTCTTCTGACTCTTGGAGGTTTACGGCAAGGTGCCAGCCTAATCTTTGAGTATGGAGAAAGGTCACTTTTTGACCTAGAAACGGTGTCACGTTGCACAATGCTTTCCTGTGCAAATTGGCCCACTGTGTTGTAAGATGCAGGCATTTTCGACCCTTTTTGCTGTGTGAGAAACATTAATCTGGTACATTGCTACTGCTACCCAGTACTCCACTTCTTACCTGCTAACAAAGGGAAATAGTAATATGTTGCTGTGTAAATCCTCAGGTAGTCTGTAAAGAAGGGATGAGTGGGTTCCTAGCAGACAGTTTCTTCCAGAAGCTGAAGAAACCTTCAGCTGCCCTTTCTTGAAGTGTTAACAGCCTTTAATACTATTGGAAGGATGCAGAAATGACTTGCTGTGTGTTCTGGCAGACAGAAACACAAGTTGTAAAAATCCCTGCCTTAAAAAGATTAATAATCGTGGCAACTGAGCCTCCCAGACATCCTCTGTGCTGTGGCAGAGCCCTCCAGCTCCCAGAGTTGTCACTTCTGGGCATTGCTCAGTGACTGTCAGCTGTGAGGATGCCTGTGTTCAGGGTGGTGTTTTGCAGCACTCAGCTAACACACTGTGGCCGCACTTAATGGTCAGCAATTGTAGTTCTTGTTCCTTCTCTGTGGATAGGTTTGAAGTGTGGATATACCACTCATCTGGAGACCTCTGTGGTTGCTCATCAGGTGCATGTCTGAGATGGAGAGAAACACAGAAGTAAACATTTTTAATAACGTGTGGTATATACGTGACAGTGGGCAGTGGGTATCCCTCCTTGTCTGTTACAAAGAAAATGAACTGTCTTATTTGCTTTCTAATTTTGTGCAGCATTACCAGAAAGCCTGAACTGGTGTGTTGTATCCACTGAGGAGATTTGGAAATGTGGTGAAATGGCCATTGCCTTTAAGAAAAAGAATTTGAAACCAGCAATTCAGTGTATTTCAGCCAAGACAAAGGAACAGTGCATGGAGCTGATCCAGGTAGGCTGCTACAAACCTTGTGCAATAAACCAGATTAACACCAGCTGCTAATGGGTAGGCAGGATCTGCTGGCTAGGTAGGATCAGAGAGATACGCACTTTGGTGACCAATAGCAATACTGGATTTCAGGAAGGTGATCTGTAGCTCACATGGTATGGATGGGCCTGAACCCTGATGATATTCAGTTGTGATCAGGCCACTGTTGCCCATCTAACTCAAGCCTGTATGTATGAAATCTCCTGTCCCCATTTCACTGATGATGCTTTATGCAGGTTTTGGGGAGTTTCTGTAGCAGTGTATTGCTCTTCTGCTGTCAGACTTGCCCTCTGAGATACAGCAAGTACGATGCTAGAGGTGTTGTCATTGTAACAGGGAAGGTATCTGCTGTTTTTTCACAGAAATCCCAAATTTTATTTTATTTTTCAGAAAAAAGAATGTGATGCTGTAGTTCTGGGTGGAGCTGATATTTACACAGCTGGGAAGACATACGGCCTTGTACCAGCTGCTGGAGAAAGTTACTCTGGTAAGAAGGTCAGGAAACATAAATATAGACCTTATTTTTCCAGGTTGTTTAAAAATGGTTCTAAAAGCACAGCTTCTGTTCTGTAGCCCTGTTGGGAAAACTGTTTTCAAAGGAAATGAGAATTACTATCCTCCTGTTACAGACAGAGGAGGAAATAAATATGGGATGGGTTCCCACAGTGAGTTTCTGGCGGTTTTGAGTCTTGTACCTCTTTATTTGTCTTTTCAATTCCGCAAAAAAAAATATTTACAATGGAAAAAAAAAATTTCACAAAATCAAAATACTTTTAACACAAACAAAAATACATAAATTACGCAGTAGATTCTAGTTAGAAATAAATTCTTCCTGTCAGTGTGGCTACTTCAGAGTCACGGATGAAAAGAGGACTTGTGGGCATTGTGTCACTGAGGCATAATTTCAATATGCTGCAAAACTCATGGAAATTTTAATACAGGTTTGAGTTTTCCCCTAAAAGTAACTTCTTAAAGCAGTTTTGACAGGTCACTAATGACCCAAATATTGTTTTTCAGGGGGATAAGATCTGATGTTAACAAGAACACTTCCATGTTCTTCTCTAGATTATTCAATTCCAGTGCATAGCAGTACCAATATACAGGCTATAAGTGAATGCAACATTGTGAAGTAGTAGAAGTGAAGAATAATTACATGTACATTCATAATTCTTGCCTTGCTGATTGTTGGTGCAATTAAAGTTGGCACCATCTAAGTGTAATGGATCTGTAGATGATCATTAAGCAGTGGGAATGCTTAAAGGAAGCTGTAATGCATTTTGGTTTTTTTCTGCAAGCTGATGACAACAGCAGTGCATACTATGCTGTGGTATTGGTGAAACGAAATCAGTCCAATGCATTCACCATCAGTGACCTGAAAGGGAAGAAGTCTTGCCACACAGGACTGGGGAGAACTGCTGGATGGAATATCCCCATTGGTATGCTAATTAAGAGGGGCATTATTAAGACCAGAGACTGTAATATTCCTCAAGGTAAGACAACAGTATTACATGTCAAAAATGCAGTAACAGTCTAACTATAAACTTTCATTAGGGAAGTAATTTGCTATTGCATAGCTCTATATTAAGCACCTGTTTGTGAAGGGGTGTTGTGTTTTCAGTGTAAAGATCTGAAATTTTAAGTTTGCCACCAGAGTAGATAAATGGAGTGGTCATAGTGAGAATGTTACATCTAGCACGAAAGTATTCCTTTCCCTCTTTCTTTTATCACAAAATTGCTGGCCAATTTAGGTTGGACCCTTCCAACCTGTGGAGGTCACCCAGTCCAACCAACTGCTCAAAGCACGTTAGATCAGATTGCCCAGGGCTATGTCCAGGCAGGCTCTGTGTAACTCCTAGGATGGAGATTACAGATGACCTTGCTGGACACCTGTCCTAGTGTTTGACCATCCTTCATATAAAGAATTTTTTTCTTGTATCTAATCAGAATTTTCCTCCTTGTAACTTCAGTCTGTTGCTTCTTGTGCTTTTGCTCTCCATCTCTGAGAAGGGTCTGGCTTGGTGTTCTTGAGAAGCCCACTGTTTAAATGAGGACAGCAATACACTGCTAGTTGTCTTACCTCTGGGCTGACCAAACCCAGCTGTCAGCCTGGTATGTGATGTGCTCCAGCCCTCTGAGCATCCTACCCTCCTTCCACTGTATTTGTTGTAGGATGTCAATGTCTTTCTACCACTGGAAGCTCAAAACTTGGTACAGGTGTCAGAGTAGAATGATCATTTCCCCTGGCTGCTCCACTAATACAACCCAGTATGCCATTAGCCTTCACAGGCACAAAAGCACACTGCTGACTCTTGGTCAACTTGTTGTCCATCAGGATCCCCAGGTCCTTTTCTTGCAGGGCTGCTTTTCAGCCTGCTAGTCCTCAGCCTTTCACAGTCTTGTTCTATCCTAAAACCAGGATTCTGCATTCTCCTCTGTTGAACTTTGAGGTTTCTGTCATCCTGTTTTTCCAGCCTGTCCAGATTCATCTCAGTGGCAGCCCTGGCCTCCAGTGTATCAAACTACAGAAGGTTTATTCCAGTTTTCAGAAATTTATTTGAAGAGTCCATTGCTTTTTGTGTTTAATCAACTTTAAGCTTATCATGAAAATCCTGCTTTCGCACTTGTCTGTCTCAGCATTTGCTTGAGGATATTGACCCAAGTCAGCTATCAGTAATAAGATAGTCACAGAAACTCACATTGTCTATACAGACATATCCCTGCTAAATGGTACTTCCAGCTCTGACATGTCACTGCAGTGATTGATTCATCCCTGTCCTGAATTTTACTGCATTTTTTTCAAACAGTATTTAGTAGTGGAGCAGTGTAGCATAACAGGCAAAGGATCTGTGACCACAGGACTCCAGATTCAAATTTTGCTTGCCTATTTCTTATCTCCCAGGAAGCTCTTTTGTTTCATTACATAATCAACTAAGTGGTGCTTTGAAAATATTTTAAAAGTTGTAGTTTGTGAATTACAGGAAGGCAGCTGTAACTCATGGTTCTATTGGTCTACTGAAACCTGCATTGGTTATAATTTCATTACAGTGTAACTACCTTTCTTTCGAAGAGCTCGCACTTTTCACTACTTACATGGGTTTGTCTTTCCTTCCCTAGCTGTGAGTGAGTTTTTCTCTGCCAGCTGCGTGCCCTCAGCTGAACAGGACAATTACCCACCAGAACTCTGTCAACTGTGTATTGGAGATGATAGTGGAAACAATAAATGCAGTGCAAGTAGCCAAGAACGTTATTACAGCTACAGTGGAGCCTTCAGGTAATTAATACATAGGGCTCTTATTTAGTCTGTCAGCTTATCAAAATGCAAAGAGTGCAAAGGGGAACTATTTTCCACCCCAGTCAGCAAAAAGTAGTTTCTGTTGCTACAGTTAGATATCATGTGCCGTAATTGAATGTGTCCCCAGATGCCTTCAGCAATACAGGTATGTCATAAGGCATCACATTAGGTCATGCCAAGCCTTTTGCCCGCTCCCTGGCCCGCAGCCAGCCAGATTACCACCAGCCAAATCCATGTCTCTGTTTACAGAGCCATAGGCACCTACCTAGTGAGGACCAAGTGGATTGTCGTCCGTCTCCAGTCTTGCTTTAATCTAGTGTGACAGACCGTCTGCCACTCTGAATGGTTGGGTCATCCATAAAGAGCTTTAGTGGGGAAGCAGGCAAATAGTAGCCAGTATCTGTCTGCGGTGAGTGCATGCTCAGCATGGCAGGCTAGTGAGGGGAATGGGGCCTCACTGTCCTTACTGGTTGGTGGCTGTATGTGAAGGTAAGTTTTTGAAGAGCACAAATGACTATGATCAATGTTCAACTATCAGATCTTCTTTAAAGCAGTGTTTGTTAAAGGCACAGGGGGGAAACGGTAAAAAATTGCATAAATACTTTGTGTAACAGCAGACATGTACACATGGGGCCATACCCAAAGACTATGAAACTCTTAGTAGTGTAACACTTCCTTTTCCTGACCTTCACCTCTGAAGGTAATGGTGCGTGTAACAGAGCTGGCAGCGAGCGGTCTTTTTCCTTCAGGGGAGGAGACTTTAACAGCAGCTGCCTGTTAAATGTTGAAGTGCTAGTCTTTAAATAACTACTTTTTGCAAATCTATTTAGTTGTGTCCAGCTGCTCAGCTGTGGTCCATGCCTTGCAGGCAAACTCCAGATCCTCTGCTGTACTTCATGGATTAACAGAGCTGGCTACCAGTCACCGAAGGAATAAACAAGTGCTGTTATAGGCTGTATGAGCCTTGCTTATATTCTAAGGTTGTGCATTTGTTAACAGGGCCCATACAGCCCAAACTTTATGTGGAGATCACTTTTTTTAAAAAAATGTTTAATTCGTTGAGCAATACGCAAAGTTTTAGGTGTCTAGAAGGTTAGGATTTGAGTGAAAAATGGAGGGTCACAAATTTCTGCAAGGTAGGGTTGGGTCTAGCTGTGGTGCTTAGGTGATCCCCTCTGAAAGAAGAATGACCTGCGGAAGTTGGCTGACATGAGCTTAAAATGCAGCCTCAGATTTCCAGATTCCTTCTGTTCTGGATATCTTCAGACTAACCTGACTAGAGGTATGAGAGGTCATTCAGTTTGTGTATAATTCACTGTTTGCACTGGATTAAACTGTGCAGAGTACTGAAAAGTCTGTTGGGAACAGCCTTTTCTGATGGGGAATGCACTGAACAGCACCTACCGAGTCCTCAGGCATGACAGTGTCAGCCACATGGTGACAAGACCTTTGATTATAACTGCTCATGTTAAAGCAGGTACATGTGGAATAGACGTATTTTTGGTAACTGTTAGCAATAATAACTTGCCCTCACATTTTGTACTGCATAAACCATGCTCAGTTACAGCTTTACATCATCTTGTTTTAGGAAACACTTCTTGAAAACACTTGTAGAATAAACTACAAGATACCACCCACACATCCTCTGCAAGCACACCCTACCCAAAATACCTGGGAAGTTAGATCTCTCTGCTAGCTCGCCCAGCTCACTGAATTGAGTTTGATTTTATTTACGTGTGATTTGCTGTCTGAAGCAAGTGCCATGCATTTCTTCTGTCTGCTGACTTCTTATTTCAGGCCTAGCAAAAATCTCCTAGCAGTCTGTGCCATCTGTTGTATCATGCACTAGACGCCACCACAATATAACGTGGGAAATGGCAAATGCTGGTAGAGGTGTGGTGTTCTACACCTTTACCCTGAAACCTTCTGGAATGGGATAACACGCTTGTAGAAGAGGAGATTTTAGGGTGCCCTTGGCATGTTGGGCCACTTATGCTTCAGAAAATTAGGGGAAACTGAACTTAGTTCTGGAACAGTACCCTTAGAAACTGCAGTTAGATCAACTAGATATCTTCAGTGTGCAGGGCTGTAAAAGCAGTGGCTGCGCAAGCATCAAGGTCACTCTACCTTGGAAATAAAAGGGAAAAAAAAAGTATATGTGCGAGTGTGCACACATGCACATATGCAGAATTTGATAAACTCTTCGGCTGTGCACTCAAAGGATTTTATTAAAAGTCTTAATGACATATACTTTGTACATGGTTTAAAAAGGAGTGAAAGCTGCTGCTAGTAGATGGGGAGTATTTCACCAAGTACCACATCTTTTCTGTTTCTTTGCTCATCTAATATTGACGTTTTTCTGTCTTTCTTGAGCTATATTTAATTAAAAAAATCCTGTTGTATTCTTCTTCTAAAATTCTTAATTCAGAATATTGTTTTAATACATTGCAAAGATGTTGGTTTTCTCTCCTTTCAAGATGCTTCACTTCTGGTTTTACTTATTGCCTTAGAGTCCAGTACATTTCTTTGCAGGAATGTATGTAAGAAAAATTGAATTCTAAACCTATCAGTTATTAGAAAAAAAATGGGGTTCACATAAAGATGCTTTGAATTGAATTCTTATTTCATTTCCCACAGGTGCCTGGCACAGGACTCTGGGGATGTGGCCTTTGTCAAGCACTCGACAGTGTTTGAGAACACGGATGGTACTTAGTTTTGCATATCTCTCTATTATAATTCAGTTCCTTTTCTTGAACCTTTTTTGCTCTAAAGCGTTCAATGACTGACAATGACCAGCTTCTTTTTCCAGGTAAAAATACTGATCGTTGGGCCCAAAACTTGAAGTCCAGTGATTTCCAGTTACTGTGTCCAAATGGTGCCCGTGCAGAAGTCACCCAGTTTGCTGAGTGTCACCTGGCTCAGGTGCCAGCTCAGGCCATTATGGTTCACCCAGATACAAGTGTTTTTGCTCTGTATGGACTGCTGGACAAAGCCCAGGTAATGATGATCCATTTATTCTATGGGGGAGTTAACGTGTTGTCTAACACAGACCAAGGATAAAGACAGCAGAACCATACTGCCATATTATGTTCCCTGCATCATGGTATTGGCAGCATGTGCACTGTGCAGAGCCCTGTTGTTGGAGTGGGATGGACAATGTAAAATACAGCCTGTGTAATTCTCCTAGTAACACTACCCTCATGCACAAGGGATTTTAACTTTTTGCCCAGACACTGGTTTCAGTAGTAATTTTCCTAGAACTTAAGACATTTTCCCAAACTGCATGACTTTGAAGTCTACAAGAAACGGAGTACATGCTAACACTTCTCCATCCTGGAATTTTCCTAGGAATGCAACAGAATGTTGCTGGATGTATTTATGCTGCAGCCGTGTACATGGTAAACCATCTAGGCAGACCATGCCTGGCTGCCACAGCTAGGTTCCTGTCAGTACTGTACTTAGCTAGTTTAAAAGCAATACTGAGTATCTCCATGACAAGCTTCATTTATTTCTGTAATCCCTGTGCAGCCAAACCCTGTATTACACAACAATATTTAGACAGAAGAATTTTTTCAAAATGCAGCTCTTTCCAGATAGTAACTAAAAAACAAAAATCACAAATGCTTTTCTTAAAATTGCCAGTGGCAGAATTCTGTGTCTAATCTACTGGAGCATCTAAAAGCAAATACATAAGGGAGATTCTGAAGTTGTATATAAACTTTTCACCTACAAAACGGTTCCTAATGTCTTTCGTGTTGTATGAGAGGAACGTGGCACTTAATCTTGCAAAATACTGGAATTTTTGTATTGTTTTTAGGACTACTTCGGAAATAGCAGCAATGGAAATGGATTCAAAATGTTTGATTCTTCAGCTTTCCAAGGAAAAAACTTGATCTTTAAGGACTCTGCTGTTGAGATCGTGCCAGTAGAAGAGAGGAGGACATACGCAGAATGGCTGGGGAGTGAATATATTGAGTCCCTTGAAGGGATGGAAGCACCACAGTGCTCTGGGGCAGGTAATAAGATCAGACAATACCTACTCCTGACTAGTGTCATTCCCCTTCTTCTTCTCTGTCAGATACAAGGCTTGGACTAGCATGGCCCAAGTGCCAACTTCCAGGCCACCTCTGCCCTACCGCCATTTCTTCAGATAAGCTGCTCTGTGGATAACGTGTTGTGCTACCATTGCAATGCCTCTTCCTGCCTCTTTGCTGGGCAAGTGCTACCAGCACTCCCTCCTCAGGGGAGTGGGTGGGACTGGAAGCTGCCCCTGTCCACGTGGATGGGGTGGAATTTGGGGCAGAAGCCAGCAATATGGTGTCAGCATGGTTTACAACGTCAGTCCAAAACTGGAGCATCTTTGCCATCGTTGCTGATGTTGAACCACCCTGGGCTGGAGGATTCCCAGGTACTGTTAGAGGGATAGTGGGTTTCTGACCTGTAGAAGAATTTCTGAATCTTGGAAGGCAGTATCAGAAATCTTGTCTAGTGAATCCTCTCTGGCCTCCTGGCTGGTTACAATCAGATTCCTACATCCCTGCTTATCCCATCCTACCCTTTGTTGGGGGCAAGTTTCTCCTGAACTCTGCTACCAGAAGAGGTAAGTGCGCAGAGGATGGACAGACTTTGGACAGAGAGATGACCTGCGGTCCAGAATACAGCTTCTGCCATGGGCAAGGTCCTCCACGTTCCAGTAGAAGAAGGTAGGGGGAATCTCCAAAGTCACTGGACAAAGAAGGCGGCCAGAGAGACTTGGAGGAGAAAAGGACAAAGGCAAATGTGTGCATCCACTGAGCTTACTGACTTTCCACAACCAGTACTCGCTGCTTGAGAGAGATGTCATCTGCCCTGTGATCTTTAATTCCATGCGCCAAGAAACTTGTGGCTGTCCTCCTTCCACATGGGTTATCCTGAGTGCCTGTGCATGAAACTTGTATTTGCTGCTGTTAGTGAAACAAAGTAGTTCAACTCTGATTACCTGTTTCTGTATCTGCTGGCTTGTAGCATTGGGTTTTTATTTTTATCCATAGCTGCAGTAACAACAAATGTTGCTGTGCTGCTGGCAAGCAGCGTCCTCCTGACTACAGCTACCACCCCATGATCCCTGGGATGAAAAGACATTCGGCATGATAAAAAACTGGTAAAACCAGATAATAATGTAAATAAGTGAAAACAAGAAATAAACATGAGAAGTAATTACAGTTTATCTAGACTTCAGCCTGATAGCTCACTTTCTCTGGGAAGTTAGTATTTGCCTCTCCTTTTCTGCCCCTCAGTTCCATTTGCTCCAAGGTTACCTGGGCTTAAGGGGAAAAGGGATGACATACAGCCCGCTGCTATTTAATTTTTGATTTCAGTGCAGTGCCAGCCATGGCAGGCCCTGACACAGCGCAGCGGCCGCCAAAACCGCAGTTACTGGCTGCGGTTGTTGCTGTTTTCCTTGTCTCTTTGGGGTTTTTTTTGCGTTGTGGTTTTTTTTTTTTTTTTGGTTTGGTTTTGTTGTGGGTTTTTTGTTTTGGGTGTGTTTTTGTTTTGTTTTGTTTTGTTTTTATTATTATTAGTAGTAGTAGTATTCTTTGGTCAGTTACGGCGCGATTACAACTCGGGGCGCGTCCCGGCGCGGGGCGGGGGTGCGGGCGGGCTGGCGGGTGCTGCGCATGCGCGCCGGGCTCCCGCTGCGGCGCCTGTGCGGGCGGTGGGGCGCCCCCCGGCGGGCGGCGGCGGCGCGATGCGGGCGCTGTGGGCGCTGCTGGCCGCGCTGCGGGCCGGGTGGTGCCTGCTGCCGCAGGCCGGCTACCTGCACCCCGACGAGTTCTTCCAGTCGCCCGAGGTGATGGCAGGTAAGGGGCGGCGGGAGCCGGGGCGGGCCGGCCCCGCGGGCCCCCCGAGCCCGGCGGGGCGCGGGGGAGCGGCGGGAGCGGCCCCGAGGGGCGCGTTCTCCCCCTGCAGCCCCGCAGAAGGCCGCGCTGCACAACGCACGGGCGCGTGCCTGTCCTGTGCCGTCGCGCTGACACGCAGCGGGGGCCGGGCGGGCGGCTCCGCGGAAACTCGAACCGAGCGGGTTTGGCTTTTCGCTCCCTGGTGTCACAGCGCGGGTCTTGCGGGCGGGGCTGGAGCGGAGCTGCCGTTCTGCGGAGTGCTGTCTGCAGCAACCGCCCTCGGGAAACCTATCACCATCACACACTTTGGGTTTTTTCTTTTTTTTCTTTTTTTTTCCTTGAAGCTTTGTAACAATGAATGGTATACTACTAAAAATGTCAAGGTTGACACCGATCTCGGAAATGTGGGGACTGCTTTGCATCGTGCTGCTTCTTATACTAAGTTGTATCCCCAATGCTGAGTTACTGAATAAAATATATCATGTATGTATTTTTTTTTCTTTTCTATTTTTCTTCCTTTATAGGAGATATTTTAAACCTGCAGGTCTATTATCCTTGGGAGTTCCTTTCCAGCTCTCCTTGCAGAACTGTTGTTTTCCCATTAATGACATCAGGAGTCACCTACTGGGTGATCAAGTCTTTGCAGCAGCTGGACATGTGTTCAAGTTGCATCAACAGCTACACCCTTCTTGTATCACCTCGCCTTCTCTTTACAATCTTTTCTTTCATACTCGACTACAGTGTTTATCGATTAGCCCCTTTCTGGGAAGCGGATCCGTGGAAAGCACTGGTACTTCTTGCCGGATCGTATGTCACTCTGGTATTTTATACAAGAACGTTTACCAACACGCTTGAAGGACTTCTCTTTGCTCTTCTGATGGTACTGGTTTCCTCAAGGAAGTCTGATGGCAGCTTAGCAGAGCCTACAAGCAGCCCTCTCATAGGTATTATAACAACTGCTGGGTTTTTCAACAGGCCAACCTTTTTGGCGTTTGCTCTGATGCCCCTGCTCTACTGGGCAGGTTTAATTGTTGACTCTCAAAAGAGCATTAAAACCGTCATAAACTACTTTTTGAAGCTTGTTCTATGTGCATGTTTTACTGCCATTGTTTTTGTAACAGCCGACACCTTCTATTTTACCTCCGTGGGCTTAGACAACCTCTACAGCATTAAAAAGAGCAGCCTATTTGATGTGATAGGTCAATTAAATGAGAAAATGATAGTAACCCCTTTCAATTTTCTCAGCTATAATCTTAATCCTCGTAACCTTGCACTGCATGGAAGTCACCCACGAGTTACACATTTTACAGTCAACGGAATAATGCTCTTTGGGATCTTACATATTCTCGCCATCGGTGCTGGTTTTAAAATGTTAAAGAAATATATCCATCAATTAATATGGGTCAAATCATATTACCATGGATCGTCTGGGCTATTAGTGCATTCCGAGGGCAATCCAACATTACTGCTGTTTTATTTTGTTCCTTTGGCATTTCTCTCTCTGTTCAGTCACCAAGAACCTCGGTTTCTCATTCCTCTCATCTTGCCATTAGTCCTGTTCAGCACGTCACAGAATAGAGCTGTGAAGTGGAAGCACGTCATTATTATTTTCAACATTCTCGGGGCTTTGCTCTTTGGGTGCTTACACCAGGGAGGACTGATACCATGTTTGTTGCACTTGGAGCAACTCATGCACTCGCCGGAGTCCTCAAACCAGCCAAGCCACTATACTCTACTCTTTGCTCACACCTACATGCCTCCTAGGTCTCTGCTTAATATTAAGAAGACAGACACGCACGTAGAAATCATTGATATGGCTGGGTCTGAAGAAGAAACCCTCTGCCAAACAGTAGAGCAGCAAGCAAACAATTTTACCTGCAATGACTGTCATGTTTTTGTTATAATCCCTGGTACAGTCAGAGCCACGATTACAAAATGTGGTGTCTTGTTCAAGAATGAGACCTTGATATTTCCACACTTATCAATGGAAGACCCACCACAAATACCCTTCCTGTTCAGTGGAAAGTGGAGAAGTCAGTTAGGACTGTACATCCTTCAGCTAGACAAACATCAGCAGAGCCTTTAGATTTTAGGGGAACAATGCTTTCTAGTTTCTCACTTCACTTGCGTGCTGCCCAAAAGTGCTGCGAGACCTTCCTCTTCACACACCCACTTTCAGCACAAGCAGTGGCACCAGAGCTCCCCCGAGTCTCTTTATTCCCTTTCTTCATACGCTCACCAGTATAGCCAGTTCTAGATAGAACCTGCTTAAAATTTGAGTTATTCAGCCCCTGTGGTGCTTCATATGAACTTGTGTAATTTTCCTGACGAGAGAGGATGAAATCAAAGCCCACCAAATCTGTGATTCAAGCTTAGCTCTTTATGTGTGAGATTTATTTTTGAAAGTTCTTATAATCTTTGACAGAGGGTTTGTGGATTGTGTGGGTTTTTTACTGGTAATAGGCGTTAACTCAGCTGCTGGAGAGAGGTTACAGTACTAGACAAAAGCCGGTCTTAATCAGTAAGATTCTGGTTTTATGCTCTTAAAAATTCAGAGCGTCCTCTCAGTCATTAGACCAGATTGCAGTCACAGTATAGGCACCAGCACTGTGATCCTGCCTGATCTCTTGGGTGGGTCTGTCTGGAAGAATCCCATGTTGATGTGGCAGAATCTGATTTGGAACGTGGAAGATGCATCAGCATAAGTACTTGTGCTAAATCCTAATATCCAAGCTTTATTTTGCCTGTGTAGTCTTTCTTGCCACAGCTCCATTCCTGCGGACACACTGTATGCGTATTACATAGGGCAGGAATGCTGCACTGTGGATGGCGTTGAGCCCGTCTGTTGTTTAGCTGTGCAAGCAGGGCACTCCTGCCCTGCTGCGCTCCCGCTGCCCATCTCGCAGCTTTCATCGCTCCGTCACGGCGCCGCAGCCAGCAGTGGTGCCGGCCAGGCCCTGCGGCGAGCCGGGCCAAGGAGCCGCGCAGACAGAAAGCAGGCGACCCGCGGGGATTTATTTGGTCCTTTATGCATTTGAGCAGATGGGTCTGGGAACCAGCTGGCCGCAGGGTTAGGGATCCACCGGTTCTGCTGCAGGGGAGGGTGTGAGGAGCCGTATCCCCTGCGCCGCCCCCCGCCTTTCAGCAACGGCTCCCCATTAAATCAGCTTAGTGAGGTGGACAGATCACATCCTTGCTCTTTGTCAGAGTAGAGTCTGATTTTAAAGTGGGATACAAAAATGTAAAAAAAAATGTATATGCTTAATAGTATAGCACAAGTAACAGTTTTTGATTTTGCCTGTGTGAACATCTGGATACAAAACATCCAGATACTAATTTGGCACGTGCATTGTAGGTCAACTCTCTCTCTGAAATGAATCTGACCCTTGAATTCTTTCTGCTCACAAAGGCAATAATGCTTTTCACAGTTCTTTATCCACACAACTTTACATCAGGTCTTATGAGCCAGTTTTTCTACTCTAACAACTCTAGGTTGATGCCAGGCTCTAAAGGGAAGCTAGGAAAAAACCCATGTGAAGGATTTGCCTGTATCTTCCAAACTATATGTATGATCTAGAGTTTTAAGGAACATAGCTCTTGCTCTCTTGTAAAGCATTTTGTGTTGTCTCCCTTATACATTCATCTCCCATCCTTCATTACTGACAGGCCTATTAATTCAAGGGGCATGTTTTAGGGGGGAGGTAATGGGAGAGGGGTATATGTGTATGTTTGTGGTAGTGACTCCTGAAGTAGTTACAAAAGCATCATCACACCAAATGCATTTTCCCAGTTAATTTCCTTTTTGCTGTCTTACATTGGGAGAATAGCCGTGTGCACCGCTGGTACTCTGTCCTGCTTACTGTTTTCATCTTTCTTAAAAAGATTAAGTTTTGAAAATTATATTAATAAACTTATGATCTCTAACAATCTCAGTGGGGTAGATCTTGAAACTCTTCAGGGATGTGATGGAGCACCATTCCCATGGCATGACTTCCCTACTGCTGCAGAGGTAACCTATGATAGAGCCAGGAGGAGAACCTCGACCACACATAACAACTCAGACTGAAAATACACTGCTGTTGTCTCACCAGCTAGACCTTTATCATTCACACCACAGATCCATTTTTTCCATCCATGCACACCTAAGTCTGTGTTGGTGGGAGGTTTAATTTTACGAGCACTGCTGGAAGCTGTATCTCAGATAACATGCAAGGTTCTTTTCACCTGAGGTGATACCAAGAATGGAAAGCAGCCTCCCCAGTTAACAAGCAGCTGGTCAGCTGGGCTGAACAGCGAAACATGCAAGGTTAACTACTTTAGTCTCATCGATGTTGTTAGATACAGCAACTCAAGTAAAGCCACCCAGTGCATCACCTATGACGAACAGATCCTTTTCCACATTTGTATTTACGATGGCTCGATTGGTCATTTTCCCCCCTAAACCCTTCTTGCCACCGTAGACTTGAGGTGTGCTTTGAGGCTAGCTACTGACTCTCTTTTACCTACCTGTAAAATGGGCAATTATCCTATCCATCACCCCATAACCATCGGCAGTTAGAGCTCTTTTTGTACGGAAGCTGTATCAAATGTAGAATATTCCTGTTGTACAGCCAGAAATTGTTAAAGGAACTCCAGTGAGACATTTGGTTTTATTTCAAGTTTCTTATCAAGCACTTCAACGTGACAAGCGTGACCGTGTTCTGGACGACGTCTCGTGTGCGTCTGCCTGTGGCCCGAGTACTGTGGAACGCATAAAGTCACTCTGAAACGCAAATCCCTCCTCCCAGGCCGCGGCTCGCTTCACCTTGTCGTGCCCGGCCGGCTCCTGGCTGCGGGCGGGGGGAGGCGCCGGCCGGCGGCCGCTCGCCCGGGGTGCCGCTGGGCTCCGCTCCGCGCCAGGCCGGGGGGGCCGCCCGCCCGCCGGCTCCGAGGCGCTCCTCCTGCGGGGCGGGGGAGCGGTCGCGGCTCCCTTCTCCTCCCAGGCGCCATCCTCCGCCGGCCCGTCAGGGCGCTGCTCCGGGGCGGCCGCCTCGGCCCGGCCCGCGCCCGGGGGGCCACGGCCAGCCCCGCTCCCGGGCGCCGTCCTTGAGCTCCCCGAGGAAGGCGTCGCGCAGGCGGAGCAGGCGGGGGGCGAGGCCCCGCGCCGCCCGGTGGGCGCCGAGCCGCCCGCGGGTGATGGCGGCGGCGGTCAGGCGGGCGGCGGCGCGGATGGGCCGCGACTGGGCGAGCTGCTCGGTCAGGCGCGGGTCGCTGAGCAGCGCCAGCAGCGCCCGCCGCAGCGCCATGCCGCGCCGCAGGCCGCGGGGGCGGAGGGGCGGCCGCTCTCGCGAGAGCCGCCGCCGCGCCCCGCCCGCTCTCGCGAGGGCCGGGTGCCGCCTCGCTATTGGCTGCGCGGCCGCGGGTCGCACGAGCTGGGGGGCGCTCTGAGGGGCGGGAAGGCGCTGAGGGGCGCTCGGGGCGCTGAGGGGCGGCCAGGCGCTGAGGGGCGGCCAGCGGCCGCGCCGTCATGTGCTCCGGGGGGACGCTGAGCATCCTGCGCAGTGACTCCTACGTTGACCTCAGCCAGTACCGGGACCAGCATTTCCGGGTGAGCGGGGCGCCGCCGCCACTGCTGCCGCTGCCGCCGGGGGTGGGGGCCGCGCCCGGGCCCGCCGTGGGGTAACGCTGTCGTTGCGGCTCAGGGGACGCGGTACGACCAGGAGCGGCTGCTGAGGAAGAGCTGCACGCTGTACGTGGGGAACCTCTCCTTCTACACCACGGAGGAGCAGATCCACGAGCTCTTCGGCAAGAGCGGCGACATCAAGAAAGTCATCATGGGGCTGGACAAAGTGAAGAAAACCGCCTGCGGCTTCTGTTTCGTGGAGTATCCTTCTGCGGGCCCGGCCCCGCTGCCCCGCGGTCGCTGGGGCCGGGCGGGGGGAGCGGGCCCCGCGGTGGTTGTGCCGCCCGCAGGCCGCGGGCAGGGCGCGGGTGAACCGAAACGCAGGCTCTTGAGTCACGGGAAGGTTACTCTAGGATAAGATTAGTCGGTTGCTAAAGAGTAAAGAGGTGTTTCCTTTCATAGAAGCATACGCATAAAGGTTTTGTTGGTATTTTGCGTCTCTGTCTCGTGTTGAGTTCACTGCATGCAAGTATTTACGAAGATCATTCTGTTACGGGTTCCAGTAAACTCACCAGAATGGTGAAAGCTTGCAGCATGAATGGAGCATGCATAGGGCTTCTCATTCTTTCTTTAGTAACAGAGCTTTACGCTTTTAAGGGTGAGTGTGGTTAAAGAGTTTGGTCCAATATATGCATTTTTAATATGCTTGAGTTCCTGCATGTTACTCTGTCTCACTCGCTGTTTCCTCAGCCCACGCAGCTTCATAAAAGCGGTTGGTTGTAAAAGTAACCGAGCAGGAACCTGTTTCAAGCAAATACTTGAGTTTGAAGCCGTTTGATGTTGTTCTTTTTTCCGTGTGTTGAAAATAGAAGCCCATTTTTTTTCATTAACCTATTCCTAAGGTATTATGCAAGAGGAGATGCTGAAAATGCAATGCGATACATCAATGGAACCAGACTTGATGATAGGATCATAAGGACAGACTGGGATGCAGGATTTAAGGAAGGTAGACAGTATGGTCGTGGAAGATCAGGGGGCCAGGTAAGTGGTTGCACAGTCTAGTTTTTAAGGCACCGACTTTGCCAAATTACTGCTTTTTGAATGAACACACTCAGGGCAACTTCAGAAAGAGCAACTTATGAATTATTAAGATAGCACTGTATGTTAGTCTGTAAGGCATCTTATCAATAATGATGTTATCTGCTAAGAATAAATAACTTTTTCATACATTTCACTGAAAATAGTTTCAGAAACTCCTCGGCTGCTTCGGGAGATAATGCTTATAAATAAGCCCAGAAGATGTAAGGCTGTCAAGAACACAAAGGACAGCACTTAGCTTACCTAAAGTTGAGCAGGTAGCAGATGCTTTTACTGCTGAAGCATGAGTCTAGCCATCTTCACTTTGGCTGTCTTGATTAAAGAGGCCCCCAGATGTTACTGAAAAGGAAGTTAGTTTATGCTGTATTCTGGGCTTCTGCATGATGCACTTTGCCTTTTGTTTTGTCAGTCTGTTCCCTGTGGCCACTTATATGTTGTGAAGTCAGTTTGACTATATTCTGATGGTGTAATAGTTTTTGATAAATTGTTTGTCTTTACTGGGATTCCCTTTTTTCCTCTTTCATAAGGTCCGGGACGAATACCGGCAAGACTATGATGCTGGAAGAGGAGGTTATGGCAAAACTGTTCAATGCCAGTGAATAGCGAATGACTCATCAGCCTCACAGGAGAACTAAATCAGCATTGTAAATGTCACCAGGCACAAAGTAGGTCTGTTGCACACAAATTTATGTAGCTAGAAACAGTATGTTCAGTAACTCTTATGTTTTAATAGCAGGATCCAAAGCGTTGCAGTGCACATTAGTACAGAGGACCTGGGAGCAAGGTTTTAAGTAATAGTGCGTGTGAGGCTTTGTTCTCTAAATGATGCTGTAACTCTACTAAAAGAAACAAAGGTTTAATGGTATGGTGCTTTGTTTCACTGGCAAAACTTGATTATTCTGTCACTGGGTTTTGTTTACATTGGTATCACAGGGTGGAGAGCGGTGGTAAAGGAAGATTGGTGTGTGTTTCAGAGGTGAAGGAAAAAGACAAAGAAACTGAAAAGGAAGTGGAATTTCTAAGGAAATTTTCCAGTTTCTAGGGAAGACTTAAAAGTTGCACCTTTTCTGGGGTTACTGGGTTGGCATCCTTTTACACTGGTGGTGTTCTTAGCACACCTATGTGAACGACCACAATAAAACAAGGCAGACTGGTGAGCCTGGAAATCATAAAGTTAGAAGTAAGCCTAGCAGAGAGCAGAAAACAGACCCTTGGAGTCTTACACAAAGTATAATGCAATTGCATGACAGTGCATGATCCAGAACCATTCGGCTTTGTGGGATACAGAGAACAACAAGTATAAGAATTACAGTAGCAGTTATTTTCACAGTTAGAGTAGTAGCATTTTGCTGCTGTCGGATAGCTCTCGATAGCCTTAATATTTAAGGAACAATATATTTCGTGTGCCTACAAGGGTGGCATGAAGACAAGTTGTACAGTTACCCCCAAAAATGGGATGTTTGAGGAACAGTGTGTATAATGAAGAAGTTTGTTCTCAAAATTGATTTTCTGATTGAGAAACTTGATTTCAGACACAGGTAAAAATTAAAAAAGGTGGGTTTTGGGAGGAGCCATACTTTCTACTGAGCATGTGGCAAGAATGGTAAAAGAATTGCAGGACTGTATAGATTCCCTTCCCCCCCGCCGCCTATCCTATTAATACTGCTAGTTTATATGATGGGATTTTGATGTGCTGCAGACACAAGAATAAAAATAATTAGTGATGCTGAGATCTGTGAAACTGACCGACCTGCTGAAATTAAATAGTTTAAAAGGAACTTTTACAGGGCTTTGGAATGTTTTGTGTGTACTTCTGAGTTCTTTGGAAATGGCAGTTCATAAAGTTTTGTCCAAATACCTTGTTACCCATGACTCCTTAAGAGCCTTTCAAATACCAAGTATGTGAAAATTGGTCTTTACTTGCTGGGGATGTTGCTGGAAATCTTGATGTGTTTCTTGTGTACTGTTAGTCACAACTATTACTGTAAATTGGAAATACTGTGAGGTAGAACAACTGCAATGGGACTTTGCTTACTTAGGAAGTGAGGTTCTGAGTCGGCTTTGGTGTTTTTTGGCGCACAAAGTAAAGCTATTTTCAGGATCACTAGGTGCTGGACTGCAAACAAGACTTTGAACAAAGTTACCTTTTTCTTTGTAGTACCTTTGATTATGAGTTTACAGCCTGTAATCTGCTCTAGGAAACCTCTGAAGTTTATTTTTCATTGTATCGATTTTGTACAAAAAAATGTGTTACCAAAACTCTAAGTCACTTTCAAATAAAGCTGCAACATTAAAATGTATTGGTTTTGGTTTTTTTTAACAGAATCAGTGAGAGAAAGGAGCTATATTCAGACTCTTGTCCACATCCTTTATTCTAGTGCCTTTGAAGATGGAGGGAGTGAATATTCCTTACCTTTGATGGGATTTTCAGTCTTGTTCAGTTCTTAACTGGATGCTGAAAGATGTTTGGTTAATGTTCTTCATTCTGCTACTTCTTGGGTTACAGAATAGAAATTATTTACAGATACTGCAGTTGACGTGAAAGTCCTTGGTGTGTAACAGGTAGTTTCCAAGGTGCACTTCCTTATAAAAATTAGGTTTAAAATTATTTTTTATTGTAAGTGTTGCAAGACAGTCATTCTCAAATGAAATGGAGGTGATAAGATCTTCCATCAAAACCATCACTGTCTTTTGCTGCATATGTGCAATGTGTTCGGAAATGTTTTGTTTTAAAGTGAGATTTTGTATTTTGAGAAAAGTGTCCATCAAAGTGGGATTTAAAAGCACATGATACATCGTGAGAAGTCTTAGTATCTCAAAATTGCGTAGAGAGGAAATTGATTGAACATGGTTTGATTTTTGCCTTCCCTGATTGAAACCAGACATGGCTCTGCCAAAGCTAGTGCTTAGCAAAAGTAACTGAATTAAGTCTTTAAAACTTCACTGGGAGGCTTCTTTAGCTTTTCTTACCTGACAGTACATTGTGATTGGGTTCTCATGGAAGTACAGGATCTCGTCATTTTTTTGACATGCCTGTTCATTATGATTGTATACACTTTCATCGCAGTTTAAGCTCTCTATTAGCTTTTCTATATTCTTGTTCATCATAATCAGGTACCTTTATGTAATTGTATTGATAAAGAAATACAGCAGCTAAGAATATGAGTGGCAGCTTTGATATGCTGTAATGGAAGAGAAGCTGCTGCAAATTAAGGCAGTGAGAGCTAGAGTCTCTCAGACTCTTGTGCAGGCCCATGGTGGGTTGATTTACATGCCTTTCTTTGGCACCAATAGCTGCAAATAAGATTTGTATTCACAGCATTTGAGTCTTTGTATTACAGCGTAAAATCAGTAGAGTGTAAATTGAAGCATTAAAGGCCTTCATTTTCAATGACTGACAAAATAATCCCTGTTACCAGTGTACCCCTGCAGGCTAGTTTTAAGGTGGTCTTTATATTAGTCAGGTTATTTACTACCCTGTGCAGCAGCAAAGCTCGTGCCGAGGTTGGTGCCAGTGCAGCCACCATTGGTGTTAATGAAATGGTTTTTTTCTACACAGATGATTCTGAAAGACAAAATGATTAAAGTGTTTAACCTAATACCCATCATCCATATATTCCAGATTAGGCTTCTTGTGAAGGTAAAAATGGATAAAGAACTCTACCAAAATCGATCTGGTTTGTACGAAGGTTTTCATCAATAGAGTGAAAGACATTACTAGTCAAAGCAGTCCACAGGGACTGAACATCTAATAATCTGTTGTCCATTTGAGTTTCTAAAGCACAATTTGTACCTTATGCTACACCATATAAACAAAGAGGAATGAGAGTGGGCGTTTTTCTCTGCAGTCTCTGGGATTTCTGCTCTTAGCTGACTGTATTTGGTACTTTGGGGTAAGTATAGGGCCTGATATGACTACAGGTCAAGTACCAACAAACTGGTGAAAACTGCAGAGAGAAGAGTCCTGGGCTTCAAAACGTCTATCATGTTTGGGAAGTAATTGCCTGATTTATTAATTTTCTGCTTTCATGTGTCTCCTGCCTGTTTCTATCAAAATAAGCTTTTGCACAAGGGATTGGATGCACTCGGAGCTGCTCTGCAGTAATGCACACAACTCTTCTGCTCTTCCTTTTGGGATAACTAGATGGTGTAAATGTTTCTCATGGCTTGCGGGAGGAGGCTTCCCTTGTCTGGCTAAGACCAGTGGTCAGTCCCAGCTTGTGATTGGCGGGTGTTACCTCCATTACTGCTTCATCTCTTTTTCTGTCCCATGTAGACAGAGGAAGGTTATTCAAGCTTGGCTGTGTTTGTATTCCAAGGTTTCAGTAATGGTGCAATCTGAAAACAGGCCTTGCTCCTTTCTCAGACACGTGCTCTATCCAGACTGGATGAAAAGTCAGAGTAAAGAAAATGGACAGTTGCTTTTGGGGGATCATCCACTCAATTTTTAAGAATTTACTTATTATATGGATGCTGAGGTAAAAGGCTTCTAGCTTAAGGCTCCAAGGCTCATTTTCAGACCTTAAACTGATTGAACTATGGAAATTAAGAGGGCTTGCTACTTTCTTCCACCTGCAGACACAGCCATCAGCACTGCTCAGGGAGATGCCATAGAAGTTAAGCGAGTTGGTTTTAATCTTGTCTATTCCAGAGCCTTGTACAGCCCCTAAGGGATAGGTACATGTGAAGTTAGGGCTGTGCACTTAAGGCATCTGAATTTCCCAATATAGTGTCCCATTATAGACATGACTAGTCATGAGCAATTCTAGAAACAGAATTTCAAAGAAAAATAGATCACAAAAGTCTTTCATTATCACCTACATATACAATGTACTCTAGTCTTGGCCCAGAAAGGTATTCTGCATGTCCTATTTCCTTAATGCTTCAGTTACATTTTATTTTCTGTAGCACGTTGTGGATCAGGATTGAGCAGGGTCTTCTATGTTCCAGACTAATTTCTGGGCAAATGATGTAGGTTTAGAGAATCCATAAAAACGTACTAGTTGTATGTCAAGGCTGTAACTTCATTCAGTGTCTGTACCAAAAAGATAGAAAGGGTATATTGCATCCCTGCCAGTTGAAGATGGGGTTGCATGAAGAAGAAAGTTTGCTGACCTTCAGAAACTGCTTTCTGAAAGCAGGAGAGATCCATTCTTGTGTCAGGGTTCCACAGTTTATGGAGATTACCTTCCTGCCACTCTGCTTCCCAACCTGCTTTCAAAGACAAAGATGTACTTTACTTCAGTGAAGTAATATTCTTCAAGATTATTTTAGCTTCTACCTGAAGGTTATTGGTCTATTAAGGTTGCTTACAGGGTGGAAAAAAAAATAGGTAGCCAAACTCTTATTTGTAGCACTTAGTATGTTTAGATCTGACACAAATAATCTTTCCCTTTAGCAGAGCCATGAGATTTGAATTTCAGACACTTGAGGAGCAGCAGCGCAAGTAAATGCCAGATGGCTCCCTCTAGTGACTACACAATTACTGTGCTTTTATATTCTGACAACAGAGTTGCTGAAAGCTGTTTTGTGCAGCATGCTGCATGTTGTACTGTCAAGATTTTGTTTTGGTTTGTGTTGTAAAAAAGGACAAAAATCTAATTTTCATCTGTAGACCATTTTTCAGAGTGAGAAGGATGTGTGTGTTTGTAGCTGTTGCTGTTTCTCTGTTTAGCAAAAACTTAGTTGCCTTTTATACTGGATATTGCGATATGCTGTGTCTGTGGTGACTTCTTTCCCTGCCTCCAGTAACCTCTCTGAATTTTTCCAAAAGCGCACCTGTGATACTGAAGGAGAGCTTGACTAGTAGATGCCCAATCCATGCTTCACAACCTTCCATTAATTATATTTTGTGTAACTGCCAGCAAATCCCCTTGTGCCAAAAATCTGTTTTTCAGTCTCTAGCAGGTTATGGAATAAAGTTCTGTATTACACACAAAGTGAGTGTATGCAGCTTGACAAGATAGTAGTCAGAGTCTTAAATGTCTAATTTGTTTCTGTGGAGCTACAGTAGTCCTTCAAGCACTTTGCAGACTTCAGTGTCTATTGCTTCAGAATATCTCTGTGGGAAAGTGCCCTTTTTCATCTTAGAAATTTTTGATCTGGGGCATAAGGGTGCTTATGTTGTCTGTGACAAGCCTCTGGTGGATGAGTTGAGCCTCTCAGTCTCCTTTATCCTAGCTCTGACAAGACTGTCTTTCCTACCTGTGCTAATGTATTTCATGACCCAGGAACATGTGAGTGTGAGGAAGATACACAAGTACACTTCTCACACATGATTTGGAAAGGTGAGTGGTACTTGCAGGATATAAATCAGATCTTTTAAATCATTTTTACAAAATAATCATAAATACCTTAAAACAAAATATGGACCTAGTGGAATGAATCCTCTCCGTGCAGGACTGATGTTATTTGCTTCATATGAATACCTTTCAATGCAGTTGCAGGCATCTTTGCTTAAGTCTTCCACTAGTCTGATGGTACTGCTATACCATTTTACAGTTAGAGAACAATTGAGTAAAGACTATGTTTAAAACATTCCTTTTTATTTCCTTCCCAGGAGCACCTCTCATGGATTTCCAGAGGGTGCTTTACAGTGGGAACAGGACTGCATGGAATGGCTTTTCACGTGAATCCCTCTGCAGAATGGAGGGTCTTGGTTGTTCCTTGCACCTTTGTGCCGTGGCTAAATTTGGCAGAAGCAGCAATCTAAGAGTGCATGACCTAAATGAAATGTAGATTTTTTAAATTATTATTATTTATTTTTTCACATTTGAAGGCCAAATATGACTTATTCCTGATGCAGGATTTTATTGCTTTGAAGGTGCTACAAGCAGACATTTGCTTTTGAAAACCCTTTCTTGACTGTTCAGTTAAAAGCAGCAGTTCTGGTTGAACGTTTCTCCCCAAAGCTTCTTCTTTGTTCTCCAGGGCTCATTTCTGACAATGTAAAACCTGCTTGTATTTTGCTCTGTTGTCCTCCAACAAAGTCTAGACAAAACCAGTTGCTTCTGCCCTGACAGGACAATCTACTGCTGTTCCAGAAGCTGTATAAGGGTATGAGTCAGGATTTCAGGGGCCAAGTTGCATAGAGAGAAACTGAAATACCTTCCATCAAAAAAATAGTGTAAATTAAGCATTACTCAGTTAATGACTGGGAAAACATCTTTCTAGAGTGCTTTAAGGATTGAGTATGTTTTTAGAACTAAGAATATATCTTAAATAATTTTGTTGGCTTTATTTTTTTTTAATTAGAGCTACCTCTGATTTCCTTTTCGAGGTGAGACATGTATTGTT